ACACTGGATCACTCTAACCCGGTGTCTACATGCCTTCCTCACTTACAGGTCTCTGCTCAAGGGTCAGTGTCATCTCCTTAGAGAGGTCTCCCCTAATTTCCCAATCTGATTGTACTCCTTGTTCCTCTCACCTTAATCCTGCTTTAATCCTTCTCATGGCACTTAGGTATTCTATATCTGTGCATATGTTATCTCTTCCACTAAAAGTTTCAAGTTCAATGGGGCAAGAAGCTTAGTTTCATTCATTGCTACATCCTTAGCACCTAGAAGTTTCTATGACATAGTGGGCATTTTTAAATTTGTTGAATGAATAAATGAATTTACCTTTCCTTGAAGAACAGCTGTGAAAGGAGCACATGCCAGCAGTGGTAGGTCACCAGAGGATCTAGCCTCCATCATTTTATTTCTGGCCACAGCAAAACTCACTAGCACTGGCAAAATCTGTTGCCCTGTGAAAGCCATGGGTTCCACCACACAAAATGCCGGTACTGACCCATTCCTGAGCATCAAGTGACTCCCAGTAGGGATCTTCATTCAGCTGATTCTGTGCTCCGAAAAGACTGAGACCAGCCTCTATTCCACTGTCAGTGCTGCTCCACTACTACCCTCATTTGCTAGGATTCAGTCAGGCTGTAGTTTCTTAGTGAACTCTGGATGGTTAATGGGAAAGAGGCAAGCCATGAATGGGGGTTAGATTGTATTTCTTAGTTTTGTAATTATCAAGCTGTATTTATAGTAAGATAAGCTGGGCCATATCCTTGTATGTGTGTGTGTGTTTCTGACTGCCACTTACTGGCTACATGACTAAACATGATTTAGTAATACTAATGCATAACAAACTGTGATTTTCAATGTGATTTTCATGGTAGCTTATACCTGTAATCTCACACTTTGGGAAGCTGAGGCAGGAGAACTGCTTGAATCCAGGAGTTCAAGACCAGCCTCAGCAACATAGTGAGATCCTGTCTCTATAAAAAATTAAAAACAAAAATTAGCTGGACATGGTGGCATGCACCTGTACTCCAAGCTACTCAAGGGGCTGAGGCAGGAGGATCACTTGAGCCTGAGAGGTCAAGGCGGCAGTAAGCCATGATCAGACTGCTATACTCCAGCATGAGTGACCAAGTGAGACTGTACCAAAAAAAAAAAAAAAAAAAAAAATAGCAGTTTAAAACAACAGCTATCCTTCCTCACAAATCTACAGTTGGCTGACCTCTCATGTCTCATGTATGTTTGTGATCAGCTGGCAGGCGGGCTGATTAAGGATGACCTCATCTGAGATGCGTTGTCTCTGTTTTGCATGGTCTGTCATTAGCAACTTGTTAGCCTTGGCTTGTTCTCATGTCAGTGGCAGGGTTCCAAATGAGAGAAGTAGTGCATTAGGGCTTTTGAGGCCTGGGCTTGGAACTGACCATCACTTTTTCTGTAAGCAAGTTACAAGGGCCAGCCCAGATTTAATGGTTGAGGAAATAGACTTTACTTCTTGATGGGAAAAATTACAAAGCCATATTGCAAAAGGCATCAAATATACAGATGAGTGGAGAACTGCAGTTTAATACAATGAACAAGGGAAAGAAGTTATTTAATCTTTGGGGGGGTCTCAAAATTTCCTCAAGAAGTAAAAGAATAGAATCTATACTGTAGATTTATCAAATCAGATCATGCTTCTAAAACTCTTAGCACAATGTTTGGCACAATAGCTTTCAACACATGACAGAGAAAATGATTATGATTAATATGATGCACAGACATAGTGTTAGTGGTAAAGATTGCAAACTGATGCCAGATGCTAATTTCTGCCATGCAACTTATTAGCTACATAATCTTGGGTAATTTCCTCATCTGTAAAATGTGAATATTATTACCAAATTCATAGGATTGTTATAAGGATTAAATAAAGCACTTCAAACAGTACTCATAAGTGTTTAATAAAAACAATATATAACTTAAAAATTACAAATTTATATATTGTTAGCCTGTTTTGCATCACTATAAAGGAGTACCTGAGGCTGGGTAATTTATAAAGAAAAAAGGTTTTTTTTGTTTATGGTTCTGCAGGCTTTACTAGCATGGCACCAATATTTGCCTGGCTTCTGATGAAGGCCCCAGGAAGGTTACAATCACAATGGAAAGCAAAGGGGGAGCAGACTCTTTTAAGCCACCAGGTCTTGCACGAACTGAGTGAGAACTCACTCATCACCAGTGGCTCTAAGCCATTCATGAGGGATCCGCCCCCATGACCCAAACATTTCCCATCAGGCCCCACCTCCAACACTGGGGATTACATTTAAACATGAGATTTGAAGGAGACAAACACCCAAACAATGTCATTCTACCCCCAGCCCCCCAAAACTCATGTCTTTCTCACATTGCAAAATATAATCATCCCTTCCCAATAGTCCCTCAAAGTCTTAATTCATTCTAGCATCACTCAAAAGTCCAAAGTCTCATTTGAGACTTAAGGTAAACTCCTTCCACCTATGAGCCTGCGAAATAAAATATAAGTTATTTACTTCCAAGATACAGTTGGTAGTACAGGCACTGAGTAAAACATTCTTGTCCCAAAACGGAGAAATTGGCTAAAGAAAGGGGCAACAGGCTCGAGGCAAGTCTGAAACCCAGCGGGGAAGACATTAAACTTAAAAGCCCCAACATATTCCTTGATTCCATGTCCTGCATCCTGGCACACTGGTGCAAGGGGTGGGCCCTCAAGGCCTTGGGCAGCTCCACTCCTGTGGCTTTGCAGGGTACGCGGCTTCCCTCATAGTTGAAGTTGAGTGTCTGTGGCTTTTCCAAGCTCAGAGTGCAAGCTGCTGGTGGCTCTACCATTCTCAAGTCTGGAGGGTGGCAGCACCTTTCCCATAGCTCTACTAGGCAGTGCCCTGCTGGGGTCTTTGTGTTGGGGCTCCAACCCCACATTTCAGTATGTAGACTATAAGCCCCCCACTGTACATGCTCTGTTTTATTCCCACATACCCCTCAAATGTGGGCAGAACCTGTAAATATCATGGGAAATCATCATGGGAAAAACATCATGGGAGAGTATCTGTATTTGTTTTCTATTACTGCATAATAGATTACCACAAACTTAAAGGCTTAATGTGATCCATTAATTAATTAATTATTTATTTATGAATGACAGACTCTTGCTCTGTCACCCAGGCTGGAGTGCAGTGGGCACAATCTCAGCTCACTGCAACCTCCGCCTCCCCAGTTCCAGCAATTCTCCTGCCTCAGCCTCCCAAGTAGCTGGGACTACAGGCATTCACCACCACGTTCAGCTAATTTTTGTATTTTCAGTAGAGACAGGGTTTCACCATGTTGGCCAAAATGGTCTTGAACTCTTGACCTCAGGGGATATGCCCACCTCAGCCTCCCAAAGTGCTGGGATTTACAGGTATGAGCCACCACAACTGGCCAATGTGACCCATTATCTCACAGTTCTATATATTAGAAGTCCAGCACAGCACAGACAGGTTCTCATACTGAGGATCACGCAAAGCTGAAATCTAGGTGTCAGCCAGGTTGTGGTATCATCTGAAGCTTGGAGTACTCTTCTTAGCTCACTCAGATTGTTGGTGGAATTCAATTCCTTGTGGTTGCAACTGAGGTTCCAATTTTTTTCCTGCTTGCCCACAACTGGAAGGTACGTCTCATCTTCTAGAGGCCACCTTTAGGTTTTAGCCAATGTGGCCCTCTCACAACATGGTACATACTTCTTCAAGGCTTACAAGAAGGAGAATCCTTCTTGCAAGGGTTCACCTGATTAGGTCAGGCCCTTTCAACAGTCTCAGAGTGAGTTGTTCAGGAACCTTAGCTGCATCTGCAAAATTCTTTCAACTTTGTCATGTAACATAATCTAATAATGGACATATCATTACGGCAGCATCATCAAGGGATATTTTTTTTTTTTTTTTTTTTTTTTTTTTGAGACGGAGTCTTGCTCTGTCACCCAGGCTGGAGTGCAGTGGCCGGATCTCAGCTCACTGCAAGCTCCGCCTCCCGGGTTTACGCCGTTCTCCTGCCTTAGCCTCCCGAGTAGCTGGGACTACAGGCGCCCGCCACCTCGCCCGGCTAGTTTTTTTGTATTTTTTAGTAGAGACGGGGTTTCACCGTGTTAGCCGGGATCGTCTCTCGATCTCCTGGCCTCGTGATCTGCCCGTCTCGGCCTCCCAAAGTGCTGGGATTACAGGCTTGAGCCACCGCGCCCGGCCTGGGATATTTTATTTGTGGTTAAATGATTGCTGTGAACACAATCTATAAATATACGACTAATAGGATTTTGTAACTGGCTCTATAAACTTTAATTTTGTATTATTTTTATAATTCACAAAGTGCTTGTATATATTCTGCATCATTTGATTTTCATGATTACCTGTCAGAGAAGCACAGCAGATATTAGCCCAATGTTATTAGTGGCTCACAGCAGCTAAGTGTATGTCCAAAGCTTTACAGCAAATTAGTAGTGGAGTCAGTTGGGCTTCAGATCAGAGTGTTTCCACCCTATATACAGCCCAGGCTCTTTTTGCTAACTCTTTAATTTTCAAACTGTGTTTGATGCTTGGAGATATCTCAGGGATTACTGTAAGAACTGGGTGTGATACTAATGGATAGGGCTAAGTGTTGATATGGTGGCTCTATTTTTATATGTTGGAAGTTCAACCCATGCTTTAATAACCACTGCCCTGCAACAGCCTGCACCTTGTTAAAGGTAAAGAAGAATATTTGGGAAAAAAATTAGTTAAAAAAATGGTTGAGGCCAGGCGTGGTGGCTCACGCCTGTAATCCCAGCACTTTGGGAGGCCGAGGCGGGGGGATCATGAGGTCAGGAGATCGAGACCATCCTGGCTAACACGGTGAAACCCCGTCTCTACTAAAAAAAAAAAAAAAAAAATTGCCGGGCGTGGTGGTGGATGCCTGTAGTTCCAGCTACTTGGAAGGCTGAGGCAGGAGAATGGCGTGAACCCGGGAGGTGGAGCTTGCAGTGAGCCGAGATCACGCCACTGCACTCCAGCCTGGGCAACAGAGCGAGATTCCATCTCAAATTAAAAAAAAAAAAAAATGGTTGAGATAGGTGTATATAAAAAGTCAAGAGTCTATTCCAATAGTTTTAAGAATCTGTCATCTCTTGCAGCAGCTGTTGAACCTTATAAAAAGACATAGAAAAAAACAAGAGAACCACATTATACACTTGCTTTAAAATATACACTCTGGAAAATATGATGAACCCCACCCCTTTCACTTTTTAAATAAATAAACAAAATTCATACCTTCTTAATGTCTGGTCTCTTATTTTTCTTTTCATGCAGACATTGACTAGCAACAGAGTACATAGCTTCAACTGAAGTGGAATCAGCATCATTCATCTTTTTATCAATATAATCTTCAATCGTCTTTTCTTCATCTTCAATTTCTTCTTTAATATCTAGCTTTAAAATGAGTGTTAAAACTTTATGAGCTTCAAATCAAAGTGAAGGAAATTAGAATGTATATTTTAATTATTTAAATTAATCTACTTTGTAATAACATGTACTCTCATTTTACTATCTTATCTTAAAACCTTATTAAGAATTCAAGACCCAGCCTGGGCAACATGGTGAAACCCTGTTTCTACTAAAAATACAAAAAATTAGCCAGGCGTGGTGGTGTGCACCTGTAATCTTAGCTACTCGGGAGGCTGACACAGGGGAATCGTCTGAACCCAGGAGGCAGAGATTGCAGTGAGCCGAAATTGCGCCACTGCACTACTCCAGCCTGGGTGACAGAGCGAGACTCTGTCTCCAAAAACAAAACAAAACAAACAAACAAAAAAACAAGACATACAGGACAAATTCTATGTAAATAAGTACATCCATCCACCACAAAATGACATTTTGGTCAACTGGTCAATGACAGACCACATATAGATGGTGGTCCCATAAGATTATAATACCATATTTTTACTGTACCTCTTTTATGTTTACATACATAAATACTTACCATTGTGTTACAATTGCTTACAGTATTCAGGACAGTATTATGCTGTACAGCATATGTTTGTAGCCTAGGAGCAATACCATACAGCCCAGGTGTGTAGTAGGTCACATCATCTAGGTTTGTGTAAGTACACTCTATGAGGTTCACACAATGAAACTGCCTAACAACGCATTTCTCGGAACATATTCCTGTCATTTGGCAACACATGACGGTGTGTGTGTGTGTGTGTGTGTGTGTAATATAAATGTATATTTATTTATACCTTCTAGATACTTCCACCCATCTGCCTTCCAATTTTTATATTTATGTTATGAGCTAATTGCTTATATGTTTCCATTAGCAGCATTTACTAGGTGGGCAGCACAGCGTGGTCTGCTTCTTGATGTGCTTCTAATAGCGCAACTCCAATTTTTTGGACCCTGACTCCTCCTCCCTGTACCCAATAAACTTCTCTATGGGTACTAAGATTGTTGAATCAAAGAGAAAAAGGGAGGGGAAAAATGGGGAGCAGGCCATGATAAAAAAAAAGAATTAACAGAAAGAGAAGTGTAGGAATAAGATAGTAAGTTGGGTGAATCATGGTCTCCCAAAACATGTCTATGCCATAATTTCTGGAATCTGTAAATGTCCTCTTATTAGGAAAAGAAGGGCCTTTTTAGATGTAATTAAGTATCCTGAGATGAGAATATTCCAGATTATAGATAATCCTGGAGGTAAGCCCCACATCCAACGAGCAAGGCAAGATTCTCTCTGGAGCCTCCAGAGAGAGCATAGTCTTGCCAATACCTTGATTTCAGACTCTGGCCTCCAGAACTACGAGCAAATAAATTTCTGTTGCTTTAAGTCACACAGTTTTTGGTACATTTTTACAACAGTCCTAGGAAACTAATACAGATGAAAAAAACTATTCATGAGAGGTAAACTCTTCAAAAACACTTTCAAAAGATAAATTCTGAAAATGTTTGGCCATGGCAGAATCTAGTAACATAAGGGTTCTTCAAAGGATCATTTTTTTTTTTAACTGTGCTTGTACAAAAATCTTATTACTTTAGAGTCACATCACAGTCAAACCTTAAGAATGGGTGAAAGAGTGTAATTCTCCAAAGATTTGTGATTTTCACTATTATATGATGAAACACAAAACTTGTGACTGAGATAGAGCTTATGTTTTTCTGCATTTCATCCTTATTCAAGCCAAAGTTTTGAGGCTTTTATATATTTTGAAAGAAAAAGCCTTAGGCAAAATGATGGAAAACTTAGGTAAAGTATATGCTGCATGCAAGTTAGTGAATCAATCTGGGTTCAATCTTGAGCCCTCCATACCCACAGAGGAGGTCATAGGAACTCCAACTTGAAGGCAGTTGGTCAGAAGTTCTGGAGGCCTAAACTTGCGACTGGTGTCTGGTGGGATCACAGTCTCAGGGACTGAGCCCTTAACCTGTGGGATCTAATTCTGATGCTATCTCTAGGAACATAGTGTCAGAATTAAATTGGAGGAGATCCAGCTGACTTTCGCTGCAAAGTAGACTGCCTGCTTGTTGGTGGAGAGAAATCCTCCCCACTCACATTTGGTCACAGAAATCTTCTGTGTTGATTGTTGCTGTGGTATGAGAGCAAAGGAAATACATGATTTGAGTTTTTCCTAACAATAGCAAATTTGGTATGTTTTTTATTGTAACTTTGTAAATAAAATACTCCATGATAGAAATAAGTAGAGAACTTTTACTAGCAATTTTATTCTGAGAGAAATTTGAACGGAAGCCATTTTTTTCCTTTCTGAAAATGTTGAAAACACTGTTATTAAGAGTAGCCACCCTGAAAGTAACAAAATAAACATAAGCTAAAGAGGACCTCAGAAATCATTTAGTTCTATTTTCATTTTACCCACAAAGAAATCAGAACAAAGAATATGTAAGTGACTTTTCTAGGCTTCACACATACTTCATGGGAGAGCTGAGAATGAAAAATATTTAATGCTTTTTCCATATGCTATTGTGTAATAGCCAATGGAAAGACTGCCAACAGAAAATGTTATTTCTAGATGTCAAATTTATCCATATAAATTTAGACTACAAAAGCAGAGAAAAAAGGATTGAGGAAAACGAATATTTCAATTACCAATAACTGAGGTTCACGGTGTTCATCCACGGCTGGAAGTCCAGTTATTATTTCTAGTAAAACCTATTAAGACAAAAAAATTTCATTAATATAATACACAAGACAGGCTGGGCATGGTGGCTAACGCCTGTAATCCCAGCACTCTGGGAGACAGATGTGGCAGGATAACTTGAGCCCAGGACTTCAAGACCAGCCTGGGCAACAGGGAGACCCTGCCTCTACAAAAAATTTTAAAAAACATTGGCCGAGTGTGGTAGCACATATCTGTAGTCCCAGCTACTTGGGAGGCTGAAGTGAGAGGATCACTAGAGCCTAGGAGGTTGAGGCTGCAGTGAGCCGTAATTCTACCACTGCACTCAGCCTGGGTGACCAAGTGAGGCCTTGTCTCTAAAATATACATATATTATACATGATACTAATAAATTATATATATAATACTCAAGACAAAAATAAATATAAACTAGAAGGAATATGAATCTTGGTTACAAAATTTGATTAATCATTCTATACAAAGCTATGTCTTTTAGATATTAAAGTGGAAAGAACACGAGCTTTGGGCATTTCTCGCCATCCCTCCTTCAGGGATATCTCGGACCCCATCATGACCATAAGCAGCTCTTTTCTATTGGCAATTCTACTAAAGAGTCAGCCCCACTCAACATATGTTCTGGGAACTCCCAATCCTTTTCCTGCCTCTTAGGGATTCTTCACAAGAATAATTTTCTCTGGCTCTTAGGAGAATATTAGTTTCTAAACACTAGGCATATTCTACAGTCCTATGCCTTGTTTTCACAGTACTATGAAGTTAAATTTCCATATATGGGACACATATGAAAAAACAAATTGAAGAAAAAGCCCCTGGCTTCTCCAACCACCCACACCTATCTCTTACTCTATCTTAAAATTTATTGGGAATAGACAGGTAGATTAGTAAATGTCAAAAAATGTGAGACTAAAGTATATACGGCACGACACAATTCATTTAATGCATTAGGTGTCATGCTAATTCATAAACAGAGATGGCAAGAAAATCATTTCTTGTAGTCATTTCAAAAATCAATTCAAAAGTTTTACACATTGGAAGAAGTTTTTACAAACTTTCTGGTATAAGTAGAGGTTAATGTGAAAAACTTGTGTTGTTACATAAGAGAGCTAAACAAGATGGGTGTATTAAATAATAGTCTACTTCATTTCCACAATTATAGCAGAATGACTATTTTTACTTATTATGTATATGGAACTTACCACACCAAAGCTGTAAATGTCAGATTTGGGTGTTATTTCTCCTCGCAAAGCTTCAGGTGCCATATAAGCTGTTGTTCCCACAATTCTGCTAGTCATGACTGTCTGGGCAAACTTCTCAGAAGCCCGTGCAAGGCCAAAGTCAGATATTTTAGCAGTAAAAGCTTCATCTAGTAAGATATTTGCACTGAAAAAAATGTAAAGTTTGAAGAAAAAAAATGTTTTCCCCACCCCAAAAAAGTCAAACAGTTCCTTAGCTAAATGTATGTATGCATGTATATATGTATATGCATACATGTCTATGTACATATTTACAGAGTATAACATTTTATAGTATGCATCATAAAAGCCTAAAATTTCTATTAATAAACCTAGAACTCAGATTATAGCTAAAGAGAAGCAACTGTCCTCTCTTTTTATGTTTCTTGAGGAAAAAATTTAGGAGAATAAAAATGAAATAAAACTGTCTACATTAGTAAGAGATATTTTCATTATTCCACAAATAATTTATTATAGGGTAAATTACTACAAAGTCTTCCAAGGCACCTTTAATAATTCCTTTCTTAATATGTATCAATTCATTTAAAAACAAATTTCCAACCAAAGTATCTCAATTATGCATTTCTTTATTCTTTTGTTCTGTACTATCTGGCTTTTGAAGAGAAAAAAATATGGCCAAAATATCTCAATTAATTCATTATATGCTTTCATACTTTCATTCAACACAATCTTATTGAGAACTCCCTATGTCGTTTAGTATTTAAGCTCTGGGCATGGGGGAGTCTTAAAATCTTGTCTGTGACAAAGGCATAAATAATTTTTTAAAACAATGGTAATATTAGGTACAAAATGCTGAGAGAACAACCATGTGCCTGGAAAAAGCAGGAAAAATTTCAAACAGAGGGTGAAAAGTGTGCTTAGTATTGAAGGATTATTAGAAGTTGATAGTTACATGAGGGAAAGAAAGGCACTCCAGGCAAATGGAGTAACAGCTACAGAGTGACGAAAATATGATATGGTGTACATGGTCAACTTCAAGGAATGAGTGTCCTAGAAACATGGAGATTATTTGAATTTTATCCTGTGAGCAACAGGCTACCAGCTAAAGTTTTCATAGTAGGAAACTGATGTTATTAGACTTAACTTTTAGGACCATGACCTGGTAGCATTGTAGTGAATAGATGAGGACTGATAGGCTGGATTTAGGTTGACTACAAAGGTTTGTAACAAAGCAAATGAGAGATAATGAGGGTCTAAATGGTCATAACATGGGATAAATGGAAAGTGAAAATTTTGAGGCTCACTCAACAGAATTTCGTAATTAGCATGATACAGAGAATGAGAACGTCTTCAGCTTGAGAGAGAGAATGAATAGTGACTTCACTGGATCAGAAAGGAAATGTGGAAAGACTTTAGGTTGGAAAGACCTGATGAGTTTGATTTCTGATGTGCTGACTTAAAGGTTACTGTGGGATACCCAGATGCAGTGTTTTTGGTACGGGGATACTAAAAATCCAGGACTGGAAGCTTATAATACAGATTCGAAAAACACTCACATATAAGTAGCAGTTAAAATCAACATAATATCACTCAGCAAAAACACACAGAAAGAAGCCGGGCGGGTGGCTCACGCCTGTAATTCCAGCACTTTGGGAGGCCAAGGTGGGCAGATCACCTGAGGTCAGAAGTTCGAGACCAACCTGATCAACATGGAGAAATCCCATCTCTACTAAAAATACAAAATTAGCAGAGCGTGGTGGTGCATGCCTGTAATCCAAGCTATTCAGGAGGCTGAGGCTCGAGAATCTCTTGAACCCAGGAGGCGAAGGCTGCAGTGAGCCAAGATCGCGCCACTGCACTCCAGCCTGGGTAACAAGAGTGAAACTCCGTCTCAAAAAAAAAAAGAACATATAGGGAGAAAAGAGAGAATGATAAGAAAATGAGAAAGTACCAACAATACATGAAGGATAGGAGATGGTGTTTCTTTTCTCATCTAGGGTCAGTTCCTCTGCTCGAGCTGCTTACATTCTCAGGAACCCTACTGAACACATAATCTCATTTCTCTCTTCCACGGTATCCTCTCCCTCTTAATTTGGATCCTTCCTATAGGCAGATAAGCACAGTTTAGTCTCTGCTCTCTTAAAAAAAAAAAAAAAGTTTCCTGAATGACATATCTATTTCTAGCTGTCCCCTTAGTAACATGTCTTAAAAGACTTGTCTGTACTCCTATCTCAGTTCTCTAGCTCTCACTCTCTCAACTACATTGTGATTTCTAAACCAATTACTACATGGAAATGGGTTTCCATAAAGTCACCAAAGACAATGGTGATGCTAATCCAATGATTAAAGCACTTGACTCTTTTTGACTACTCCCTCTTGGGAAACACTTTCTTTCCTCATTTTCAGGGACTCCACACTCTGCAGGTTTTCACCTTACCTTTCTCTGTATGTGTACTTCCTTAGATTCCTTTTTGTGATCATCCCTTCTATTTGGCCATTAAGTCTTAGGGTTCCTCAAGACTTAATCTTGTGACCTTTTCTTAATCTACATCTCCCCTCAAGTGAATACAGTCACTTCAATTATCACCTGTATGCAAGTAATATACACATTTATATCTTCAGCTCAGACCATCAGCTCCAAATCTGTATATCACACTAACATCTCTACTACTATATCTTAAAAGAACCTCAATGACAACACGTACAAAGGAGAATTCACATTTTCTAACCATCTCTCTAACCCCAACCTAACCAGGTCTTTTTTTGGTCCTTTCTATATAAGTGAATCATGCCATAATCATTCCAGAATGCAAGTCTGGATGCCATTATTCCGGGAGTCATTCGTGATACTTCCCTCTTCCTGAACCCCTGCATAGCCAAGGTATCAACAAGCTTTGCCATTTTAATCTTTCTAATCTGCTCACCTCTATTCATATGAACTGCCACCTATGATAGCCTACTAACTGCTTCTTCTTATAAACTGTTCTCTACATTAGAGTCAAAATCATCTTTGCAAAACTTAAAGATGATGCCACATTCCTACTTAAAAATTTCAATGGCATCTCATTACACTTGAGATAAAACTAAAAGCCTTACCTTGGCCCATTAGGTCCTATAGGACTTAGCTTCCTACACTTCTCTGTAGTTTTATCTTCAATCCACCACCCCATAACTTTCTGCATCTCAGTCATACTGCATTTATTGTTTTTTTTCAGACAGAGTCTTGCTTTATTACCCAGGTTGGAGAGCAGTGGCATGATCATAGCTCACTTCAGCCTTGAACTCCTGGGCTCAAGCATCCTCCCTCCTCAGCCACCCCAGCATCTGGAAGTGTAGGCATGCATTACCAGGTTTGGTCTGAGCTGAAGATATAAATGAAGATATCTATGTTGTCCAGGGAACGTAATCAGGTCTGCAATTCCTGGCCTCAAATGATCCTACTGTCTTGGCTCCCAAAGCATATTTCATTTCTTGTAACTCATCATGCTCCCATATTTTCTCTCACCACTGGTCTTACAAATGCAGTTCCTTCTGCCTAGAATGTTCTTTTCCCCATCATCTATTCTACAGTTACCCTCAAATTGTGCCTACTTATTTCCTGCCCATTCTTTGAATCTCTGCTTAAATATCACTTTCTTGGAAAATGTTCTTTATATTAATCCTATATACTATACTATATTATATATAATATATATGTGTGTACTGTTATTTTGTGATTTGATTGATGTTGAGCTCTATATATTAATATGTTACTTAGAGTAGGTAAATATTTAACTAGATAAATAAACAAGAAAGAAAGAGAACTGAAAAGTACTCATGAAGGATGAAGGTGATTCAGAAAAGAATGGTGATCCATAAACTAAGAAAACAACTAATTTCCATAAGGCAAAAGGGTCAAGAAGAACAGAATAAACTACTATTAAAACAAATAAAAAAGGTCAAGTAGGATGAGTACTGAAAGTAGGTCACTGGGCTTGGAATAAAGGAGATTACAGATGTCCTTATTGAGAAGAGCTTTCATGGAGTGATGGGAAAAAGTCCAGGTGCTCTAGGTTAAGACATGCATGTGAATAGTGAATAGAGTGACAGCAAACTATTCTTTAAAGACAGCTTTCCAAAAGCTTTTAAACAGTAGCATTTACCTTTTAATATCTCTATGAATATGATGATTTTCATGTAGAAAATTGATGCCATTAGCTGCACCCTGAGCAATCTTGCATCTCATGTGCCAAGAAAGTGGTGGAGTACCATCCTTGTAAAGAAATAAACCAAATTAAAAACTAGAAAGCATAATAAAAAATCTACAGAGACTATATAACACAGAGTATTTTTCTAGGCAACAACTGAAGATGATGCTATATCACTAATAATTTAGGACTACATTTTTAAGTTATTAAAAATAATCTCCAAGTAAGCTCAAATGGGTGTTTACATTTCTTATTTGAAGATAAAAATATATAAAAGCATCTTCCTAGTATAGTCTTGACTGAATTTTATATTTAGGATTACCATCTAATAAAATGGCAACCCAGTTGCTGACATATCAACTGTATAATTTTCATAGAGCAGGAAAAATATGAAAGCGAATTTGGTTTAAATAATCCAGTAACAAAATGAGTATTAATACTCCAGCATATAAACAAAAAGCCAAACAATCTGATGAACAAATAGCTTACCAAGCAAGAGAGTCTGTCTAGTAATGAACCATTAGGCATGTAAACATATACTAAGCAGAGGTCATCTCCATCACTTGAGAAACCAAGTAGTTCTACTAAGTTTTCATGTTGACACCTGTGACAAACAATTTTTCATGCAAAATTATTATAATATATACTTATATAGTCAGTTGTAGGTTGGAAGTTATTCAAAGTTTTAATAGAAAAAAAGAGAAAAAAATAGTATGTTATATATAATTTCTAACATGATGTTTATGTTTATATATGTTTATTGTAACTATTTATAATTTTCTGCAAATAGTTCTCTTTTTAGCCAATATTAATCAACATCAGAAGTAAAATCTGGGTCCCGGAGCAGGATGGCCAAATAGGAACAGCTCCAGTCTCCAGCTTCCCAGCATGGGTGACACAGAAGACGGGTGATTTCTGCATTTTCAACTGAGGTATTGGGTTCATCTCACTGGGGAGTGCCACACAATAGGTGCTGGCCAGCTGGTGCAGCCCAACCAGCCACAGCTGAAGCAGGGCGAGGCATCGCCTCACCTGGGAAGCGCAAGGGGGAAGGGAATCCCTTTTCCTAGGCAGGGGAACTGAGACACACAACACTTGGAAAATCGGGTAACTCCCACCCTAATACTGTGCTTTACCAAGGGTCTTAGCAAATGGCACACCAGGAGATTATATCCCACACCTGGCCGGGAGGGTCCCACATCCACAGAGCCTCCCTCATTGCTAGCACAGCAGTCTGAGATCTAATTGCAGAGGTTGGGGGAGGGGCGCCCACCATTGCTGAGGCTTAAGTAGGTAAACAAAGCCGCTGGGAAGCTCGAACTGGGTGGAACCCACAGCAGCTCAAGGAGGCCTACCCGTCTCTGTAGACTCCACCTCTGGGGACAGCGCACAGCTAAACAAAAAGTAGCAGAAAGCTCTGCAGATGCAAATGACCCTGTCTGACAGCTTTGAAGAGAGCAGTGGATCTCCCAACACGGAGGTTGAGATCTGAGAAGGGACAGACTGCCTGCTCAAGTGGGTCCCTGACCTCTGAGTAGCCTAACTGGGAGACATCCCCCACTAGGTGCAGACTGACACCCCACACCTCACACGGTGGGGTACACCCTTGAGACGAAGCTTCCAGAGCAAGAATCAGACAGGATCACTCGCTATTCAGCAATATTCTATCTTCTGCAGCCCCGCTGCTGATACCCAGGCAAACACGGTCTGGAGTGGACCTCAAGCAATTTCCAACAGACCTACAGCTGAAAGTCCTGACTGTTAGAAGGAAAACTAACAAACAGAAAGGACACCCACGCCAAAACCCCATCAGTACGTCATCATCATCAAAGACCAAAGGCAGATAAAACCACAAAGATGGGGAAAAAGCAGGGCAGAAAAGCTGGAAATTCAAAAAATCAGAGCGCATCTCCCCCTCCAAAGGAACGCAGCTCATCGCCAACAACAGATCAAAGCTGGACGGAGAATGACTTTGACGAGTTGAGAGAAGAAGGTTTCAGTCCATCAAACTTCTCAGAGCTAAAGGAGGAATTACGTACTCAGCGCAAAGAAACTAAAAATATTGAAAAAAGAGTGGATAACTAGAATAATCAATGCAGAGAAGGCCATAAATGAACTGACAGAGATAAAAACCATGACATGAGAAATACGTGACAAATGCACAAGCTTCAGTAACCGACTCGATCAACTGGAAGAAAGAGTATCAGAGATGGAAGATCAAATGAATGAAACGAATAAAGAAGAGAAGTCTAAAGAAAAAAGAGGAAAAAGAAATGAACAAAGCCTTCAAGAAGTATGGGAGTATGTGAAAAGATCAAATTTACGTCTGGTTGGGGTGCCTGAAAGTGAGGGGGAAAATGGAACCAAGTTGGAAAACACTCTGCAGGATATCATCCAGGAGAACTTCCCCAACCTAGTAAGGCAGGCCAACATTCAAATTCAGGAAATATAAAGAACGCCACAAAGATACTCCTCGAGAAGAGCAACTCCAAGACACATAATTGTCAGATTTACCAAAGTTGAAATGAAGGAAAAAATCTTAAGGGCAGCCAGAGAGAAAGGTCGGGTTACACGCAAAGGGAAGCCCATCAGACTAACAGCAGATCTCTCAGCAGAAACTCTCCAAGCCAGAAGAGAGTGGGGGCCAATATTCAACATTCTTAAAGAAAAGAATTTTCAATCCAGAATTTCATATCCAGCCAAACTAAGTTTCATAAGTGAAGGAGAAATAAAATCCTTTACAGACAAGCAAATACTTAGAGATTTTGTCACCACCAGGCCTGCCCTACAAGAGACCCTGAAGGAAGCACTAAACATGGAAAGGAACAATCGGTACCAGCCATTGCAAAAACATGCCAAAATGTAAAGACCATCGATGCTAGGAAGAAACTGTATCAACTAACGAGCAAATTAACCAGCTAATATCACAATGACAGGATCAAGTTCACACATAACAATATTAACCTTAAATGTAAATGGACTAAATCGTCCAATTAAAAGACACAGACTGGCAAATTGGATAAAGAGTCCAGACCCATCAGTTTGCTGTATTCGGGAGACCCATCTCACATGCAGAGACACACATAGGCTCAAAATAAAGGGATGGAAGATGATCTACCAAGCAAATGGAGAACAAAAAAAAAACAGGGGTTGCAATCCTAGTCTCTGATAAAACAGACTTTAAACCATCAAAGATCAAAAGAGACAAAGAAGGCCATTACATAATGGTAAAGGGATCAATTCAACAGGAAGAGCTAACTATCCTAAATATATATGCACCCAATACAGGAGCACCCAGATTCATAAAGCAAGTCCTTAGAGACTGACAAAGAGGCTTAGACTCCCATACTATAATAATGGGAGACTTCAACACCCCACTGTCAACATTACACAGATCAACGAGACAGAAAGTTAACAAGGATATCCAGGAATTGAACTCAACTCTGCCCCAAGCAGACCTAATAGACATCTACAGAACTCTCCACCCCAAATCAACAGAAGATACATTCTTCTCAGCACATCGTACTTATTCCAAAATTGACCACATAATTGGAAGTAAAGCACTCCTCAGCAAATATACAAGGACAGAAATTATAACAAACTGTCTCTCAGACCACAGTGCAATCAAACTAGAACTCAGGACTAAGAAACTCAATCAAAACCACTCAACTACATGGAAACTGAACAACCTGTTCCGGAATGACTACTGGGTACATAATGAAATGAAGGCAGAAATAAAGATGTACTTTGAAACCTATGAGAACAAAGATACAACATACCAGAATCTCTCGGACACATTTAAAGCAGTGTGGAGAGGGAAATTTATAGCACTAAATGCCCACAAGAGAAAGCTGGAAAGATCTAAAATTGACACCCTAACATCACAATTAAAAGAACTAGAGAAGCAAGAGCAAACACATTCAAAAGCTAGCAGAAGGCAAGAAATAACTAAGATCAGAGCAGAACTGAAGGAGATAGAGACACAAAAAACCCTCCAAAAAATCAATGAATCCAGGAGTTGGTTTTTTGAAAAGATGAACAAAATTGATAGACCGCTAGCAAGACTAATAAAGAACGAAAGAGAGAAGAATCAAATAGACGCAATAAAAAATGATAAAGGGGATATCCCCACCAACCCCACAGAAATACAAACTACCATCAGAGAATACTATACACACCTCTACGCCATTAAACTAGAAAATCTAGAAGAAATGGACACAGGAAGGGGAACATTACACACCGGGGCCTATTATGGGGAGTGGGGAGGGGGGAGGTATGGCATTGGGAATTATAACTGATGTAAATGACGAGTTGATGGGTGCTGACGAGTTGATGGGTACAGCACACCAACATGGCACAAGTATACATATGTAACAAACCTGCACATGTACCCTAGAACTTAAAGTATAAAAAAAAAAAAAAAAAAGAAGTAACATATCACTGCCTTCACTTAAATTCTAAATAGATCTAGTATGATATTTATGCCTGTAATAATTTATGCATTAAATGTTTAACCCAACTTGATAGGCTAAAATGAAGAACTACTTAATAATTCTTTAAAGGTTAATAAAAGTAAAGACAACATGAACAAAAAAAGAAAAAAAGAAGTAAAATCTATTTTCTTTTCTTTTTTTTTTTTTTGAGACAGGGTCTAACTCTGTTGCCCAGGCTGCAGTGCAGTGGTGCAATCATAGCTCACTGTGGCCTCGACCATCTGGACTCAAGTAATCCTTCTGCCTCATCCTCCCAAGTAGCTTGGACTACTGGTACATACCACACTCAGGTACTTTTTAAACTTTTTTGTAGGGATGAAGTCTCACTGTGTGTTTCCCAGGCTGGTCTCAAACCGCTGGCCTCAAGCAATCCTACCACCTTGGCCTCCTAAAGTATTGGGATTACAGGCATGAGCCACTACACCTGGCCAAACCTTTCTATTTTATAGTAAAAGCTAAATAATTCAGATTATTGGAACTTGTGATAAGTTTGGTTAAGGACTAGGCTGATGTTCAATTTCTTTAGCCCAATATTCAATGATGGCACAAATAAGATTTCAAGAAGTCTATTGTATTTTTATGCTAATACTGTCAAGAATTTTCTAACAAACTCAAAGCACTGATTTACAGACATGATCTTGAATCACATCTAATTTACATGTTTTTGATCTTTAATCACACTGGATTATTTATAACCTAATTTGAGTGTTTTATATACTTGAGAATAATAAAACTAAAGAGACCTACGATATAATAAAGCGGCAGGCATCTGTGGTAAGATGAAAGAACACAGGGCTCAGAGTTATACATCCTAAATTTAAAGTCTCGCTCTGCCCCCTCCTGGATAGGTGACCTATGGCAAGTTAACAGCCTTACTGAGCCTCAGCTCCTTTATCAGCTAAACGCAGAAAATAATACATAATAATGTAATACGGATGCTGAGACAATTAAATGAGAAAATGTAAACATGACAGCCTAGAAACATATCTGGCACATGATAAGTGTTTTATTATTTAAGTGCTTATTCATTTTGTTCATTCAAAACTATCCACAATTCTAGCAGTTCATTATATCAAATATGACTTCTATTCTCATAAATATTTTAAGAAGCGCAAATTAAAGCAATAAGTGTTCCATTTTCCACCAAATTGGCATATTTTAAACATGAGTAATTAACATTTGCTGAGTTTATACTATATACAAGGCATTGTGGCAAGTGATTTACCTGCTTTATTTAATCCTCACAATAACTTAAGTAAGTACTATTATCCTGTTTTATAGATGAGAAAATTAACGAATAGAAAGTTAAGAAACTTGGCCAAGATCATTCTGCTAGTAAGGTCCAGAGATTGGCACTTACTAAATAATAGTAATAATAAGCTGGGCGTGGTGGCTCACGCCTGTAATCCCAGCACTTTGGGAGGCCGAAGTAGGTGGATCACGAGGTCAGGAGATCAACACCATCCTGGCTAACATGGTGAAACGCCGTCTCTACTAAAAATACAAAACGAAATTAGCTGGGTGTGGTGGCGAGTGCCTGTAGTCCCAGCTACTCAGGGGGCTGAGGCAGGAGAATGGTGTGAACCCGGGAGAGCGAGCTCGCAGTGAGCCGAGATTGCGCCACTGCATTCCAGCCTGGGCGACAGAGCGAGACTCCATCTCAAAAAAAAAAAAAAAAAAAAGGAATGATATTAAATGAAGATAGGGAACCAGTAAAGTTTGAAATTGTAACGCACTGCTGGTAGTAATATAAATTTATTTATTTATTTATTTATTTTGAGACGGAGTCTCGCTTTGTCGCCTAGGCTGGAGTGCAGTGGCATGAGCCGGCTCACCGCAACCTCCGCTTCCCAGGTTCACGCCATTCTCCTGCCTCAGCCTCCCGAATACCTGGGACTACAGGCGCCCGCCACCTCGCCTGGCTAGTTTTTTGTATTTTTAGTAGAGACGGGGTTTCACCGTGTTAGCCAGGATGGTCTCGATCTGGTGACCTCGTGATCCGCCCGCCTCGGCCTCCCAAAGTGCTGGGATTACAGGCGTGAGCCACCACGCCCAGCGCTGGTAGTAATATAAATTACTGAAACCTATCTCAAAAGCCATTTGAATGTTTGAATGTGTATTTAGAAAGTCTTTAAAAAGTTCATGCATTCCGACCCAGTAATTCTTTTTCTAGGACTTTACCCTAGATGATAAAGTAAGTATAACTGCATTTAAAGATTTATGTGCAAAGAACTTTAAAGAAGCTTTATTTTTAATACTGAAAATTAGGAACAAACATAGCTATGGTTAAATAAAATATGATTCTCACATATTCTAGAATGTTGTACAATAATTTAAAATGTTTTCAAATTATTTTTAATGACATGGGGAAATGCTACACACACATCATGAAGCAAGTATATAAAAATATTAGCAGTGGTTATCTCTGAGTGATGTATTTGAGAGATGGTTTGTATTATTAAGTTCCGGGACACATGTACAGAACGTGCAGGTTTGTTACATATGTAAACATGTGCCACCGTGGTTTGCTGCACCTATCAACCCATCACCTAGGTATTAAGCCCTGCATGCATATGGTTTTGTATATTTTAAAAATATTTTCCTGTATTTTCCAGATTATCTACTGTGAACAAGTTACTTTTAGAACTGCAGAGTAGGGGTAGAAGTGGAGAAAACAAATACTAAAAACAAAAAGTTTGATTTTTTTTCAGTGTGTATCATTTTTACCATGCATAAGTCAATTCTAGTCTATTCTTCCTACTTGAGGTTAAGTAACTATGATTGGTGATTTACAGCAGTGGGTTTAATGGGTATAATTTGGTAAATCCCATTAGGATTCAGATCAAAAGTTCAGGCTCTGCAATCAAACAGATCTGGATTTCAATCCCATCTCTAACACTTACTGGCTACGTGATCTTGGACAAGCTATTTAACGTTTCTAAATCTCAGTTAACAAACAAAATGGGCAGTTGTAATAGTTGTAAAGGTTAGATAGACAATGCACATAAGGTACATAGCACAATGTCTGGAATGTTGTACACACTCAAATATCAACCACTATTAATTACTATAATAATTAGAATACATTTCCTCCATTGTCCCTTCTACTTTTCCTGATGATGTCCAACAATTTTCCAGCACACAGGGTCAATGCTGAGAAGGCAGATAACATGACTCTAGTTGCTTTATAGGTGCTACTTTATATATAAAGTATATATATATCTTCGGATATATATGTGGATACTATGTGGAGCAGGGCTTCTCAACTTTAGTTTGTGAATCTCCCAAAATTGTATGTATGATTGTGTGTATATGTATATAACTACATTTTTCTAGGGGTAGGGTCCATAGCATTCAACAGATTTTTAAATTTTAAGAACTACTATGTAGAATGATGTTTATTTAAAGTATATCTGCCTTCAGCTAACAGCACATAGAGTAAATGCTTATCTTTGCAGATAACATGACTCTAGTTGCTGTATAGATGCTACTTTATATATTCTGTAGATAGTTTTTTTAAGTATCTCTACAATTGATCTCTCATGAATTCTGGAAGTAGAAAACATGATAATGAAGGACATGATAGTAAAATTCCACGTAACCTTGTTGTGACTTAAAATAATGACTGCGGTCAAGCGCAGTGGCTCCTGCCTGTAATCCCAGCACTTGGGGAGGCTGAGGCAGGCAGATCATGAGGTCAAGATCAAGACCATCCTGGCTAACACGGTGAAACCCCACCTCTACTAAAAATACAAGAAAAATTAGCCAGGCATGATGGCACACACCTGAAGTCCCAGCTACTCGGGAGGCTGAGGCAGGAGAATCGCTTGAACCTGGGAGGCAGAGGTTGCAGTGAGCTGAGATGGTGCCACTGCACTCCAGCTTGGGTGACACAGTGAGACTCCATCTCAAAATAAATAAATAAATAAAAATGACTGCTATTTAATCTCCAGGCATATGAGTATATGTAATCATAGAATTATGGAGCCAAAAGTACTTTCAATTTCTCTAAACACTTAATTTTAATTTCATATATGTGCAAACATCACTAGTTCATGGCATACTCTAGAGTGAACCAGGTTCCTTACTCCTTGTCTTTTTCCTTTCCACTACACCGCACTGCCAAATTAAGACTTACTTTGCCATTACTTTTATTTCTTGATCAAACTGCTGTTTCAGTTCTTCAGTAGTAATGTCAACCATCTGAAAAAATAAAATATACAGTGTAATACTGCACAATTCTAAGGTTCCTAATGCTCAGAGGGATCAAGAGATCAGCTGGCTCATCTCCCTTTCTTTAAAACAATAAGGTATTATTCTCCCAATTCTACAGAACAACTGAGATCTAGAAATACTAGCGATTTGCTCAAGGTCCATGGCTGGTTAGTGGAATGAAAAATATATATAAATTTCACTGAGTTGTGGAAACAAAATGAAATAGCATGAAATTTCACTACACAAAAAATTTGAAAAAATATTCTAGGAAACAGAAAACATACGCAATTTTAGTGCAAAATGGAAAACAAAACCTACAAAAGCCCTGCAATGTATATGACAAAGAGTGACTATCTTTATCACATACATATGCATTCTATTGATATTTTTAGGCTCTAACAAAAGGTTTAGAATATAACTAGTCAATAAGTAAAAGGTGAACACTCCAGTAGAAATGGCAACAAAGGACACGGATAAAAAAAATTTTAATGTTTTTTCTTAATGTATACTTCATAAACTTTATTTTTAAATGGGAAAAGTAATGCAAACATGGTTTTTTTTTTAAAAATAATTTTCCTGGTTTCTTACCATTTTAATCTTGATTACATATGAGGCACTATGTGGAGCAGGGCTTCTCAACTTTAGTTTGTGGATCTTCCAAAATTGTATGTATGATTGTGTGTATATGTACATAACTACGTTTTTCTAGGGGTAGGGTCCATAGCATTCAACAGATTTTTAAATTTTAAGAACTACTATGTAGAATGATGTTTATTTAAAGAAAATACATACTGAAATAATGTATTTCCTAAAGATTAACTTTATTATAGAGCACACTATGAAGCAACTCTTTATTCCTGAAAATATAACTTACTGCTGCAAGCTTCTTTACTGCCACAGTTGCGTTATTTACGTAGCCTTTATATACAACTCCAAATCCTCCCTCTCCCATTTTATTACCACCAACAGAAATGGGTCGTTCATCAAAGTTATTTGTGACATTCTTCAATTCATAAAATGAAAAACTGTGAAAACCTATAATGTCAAAATAAGAAAAACATGCTTAAATTTTAAAAATTCGTTTTAATAATTCTAATATTTTCTCATTTGAAGATTTCACATGTATGTAAATATTTATGATTTTGAATTAGACAAGACGGGAGAATATAAAACCATTTCTAAAATACAAATTTTAAGTTTTTCTTGAGAATTCTGTTTGGTGATCCTACCCTCTGAACACTGTAGTCACCCACCCAAAATTCTAGTCACACATTTGAGTGGGTCTAGTCTACCTACCCAAAACTCTAGTCACATATTTTATTTTAAAAAGTGACCCTTCCAAGTTATGTAAATATTTACTTATTTTTTTTTTCATAGCTTCTCTGGTTGTTTGCATGTCCTATTGCCTCTAATCACTGATTAACACAAAGAAGATGGTTCTTAATATATCAGGAGGAAAAAACTCATAAAAGAGCTATTGCCAGTGTGCCTGTGATTGCTGCACAAACAAAAGAACAAAAGCTTTCTTTTAAAGCACTGCTAGTCTTAATGACAAATCCACTAGTAGAAAGCACTGAAAATGTTACTTACGTGTATCACTAACTTCTAAACTTTTATTTTCTGGACTTGAGGAGTCAAGTGGCATATAGCTTTGTTCAAGATTCTGCAGAGGTGTCATCAATGTCCTGTCTTTGTCATAGAAAGGCATCTGTTTTTGTTGAACTGTTACAGCTTCTTTAGAAGGTAGTGTATTAGCAGTTTTGGGAACAGCATCTAACAAATGAAGTAAGACACAAGTGGTTTTTCAGTAATAAGAAGTGGTTGTGAAAAAGTTAAACTAGAAACTTGGTTCATTTAATATCATTCCAGTTTCTACAGGTTGGTCTCATATTCTCACAGCACACACAAGAAGCTACCTAGTAAGAATCTGTAAGTTATAATGAATATGGGTAAAGAGAGTAAGGCAGTGTTTTCAAACAGTAATCCATGAGCCACCTATATCAGAGGCACTGCAGCACTTGTTTAAGAATATAGACCTTAAACCCAATTCCAGAATTCTGAATACATAGATTTGGAACAGACCCTAGGAATCTACATGTTTAACCAGAACCTAAGTGATTCTTATGCATGATAAAGGTTCAGAACCACTAGTGTGAAAGGCATCAAAGGAAGAAAAGAAAGGTTATAAGGAAGGCAACTAGACACTAACACATCAGAATACAATTTTTTAAAATTATGATCATAGAATCTCATCAGGGTAGAAGTTGAAGATGAAAAAAAGCAAGAACTCAAAAGAATAATTACTTTCTTACAGCCTAAGCCAGATGTGTGAAGTCTTTCCTTCTAAACTTCCTATTGGCACAAAACTATCTGACTCTTACAAAGCTTCTATCACCTTAGTAGCAGGGTCCACAGTGTCCTTTGTCGGTGCTGCTTTTTAAAGAGTTGAGGAGTGCTGAAAGAAAGAAAGGGACTCTCAAATGTAAACTTCATCTACCAGGAGGAAAAAGTAAGAGTAAGAAGAAACATTTCTATTTTGGCCATTTGTCTTTCCACCCTAATTGTGGACACCCTGGTCACAATCAGTTTACCTGGGAGCAAAAGACTCGCAGGAGCAAAAAATTCATTTTGGATCAAAAGATCCACAAGATCACCAACTGTGCAATTTGTGGTGCCCCAGTCAAACAGTAATTCAGAAGTGGGACTTTTTCCAGTTTGAAGTAATGCTTCAAATCTCCTTAAAAGTAAGTAACAAAGAAACAAAATTAGTCTATTGTCTTAGTTCATTTTGTACTGCAATAATAGAATACCACAGACAGGGTAATTTATAAACAATAGTTAATTTGGCTCACGGTTCTGGAGGCTGGGAAGTCCAAGATCGAGAGGCTGCATCTGGTTAGGGCCTTCTTGCTACATCATCTCATGGTGGAAGGGCAGAAGGGCAAAGAGCATGCACACGTGCATGGGAGAGAGAAAGAAAAGAGAAAGAGAGAGAGAGAGAAGGAAAAATAGGGCCTAACTTACCTTTTTATCAGAAACCCACTCCCAAGATAACTAACCCACTCCTGCCATGACAACATTAATCCACTCATAAGGGCAGAGCCCTCATGACCAGCTGCCCTTTAAAGGTCCCACCTCTCAACCCTTTTGCAATGGGTATATTAAGTTTCTAACACATGAACTTTTGGGGACACATTCAAACAATAGCATTTATAAACTGAGGTCATATGAAAACAGGTGTTGATCTCCCCTGCCCCTGTTTTGCCTACAGCGTCTCCTATAACATTAAAGAAATGGGACAACAAGAGAACCAGCAAGAATTACAAAGAGACAGAAAAAATAGGAGGAAAAAAGATGCCAAAGATGATGATAATAATCTACTGGGTACTTACGGGGTATTTACTTAGTGGTTTACAGGATGTACACACATGAGCATGTTCAAAGATATTATGATTATCATACGAATTTACTAGTGAAAAAGCGAGGCTTGGAGAGGTAGAGTAACAAGCCCATAGCCACACAGCCAATATGATGTATCCAAGTTGAGGTCCAAATTCAGATCTCATTTGACATAAGAGTGTATTCTCAATCTACTTAGTTATATTACTTCCCACATAACTTAAGACTCTGATAGCTATATAATTTTTAATAAATCTGCCTGCTTAATGAAAGAAACAGAATACACAAAAACTTAGGAAATTATTCCTTCAATCTTAACTGTAATTCAATTAAATTGAAAAAAAATCACAAAGTCGGCTTTCATCCCATTTCTTTCCATTCCATTTCTTTAAAATTAAAAATTAGTTTTGAAAAGTTAACATTTAAAAATTTAACCAATATTGTTTTTTTCTTTTTCCTCTAAAGATTTTAAAAAATTTCAAACTTACAGAAAAGTTGAAAAAATGATAGAATGAACAACCATTCACCTAGATTCACCAATTGAATAACTGATAAAATTGTGCCATATCTGGGCTCTTGTGCATGCTCTCTTTCAATCTATGTCTGTGGGAGTGTATTTTAGAATATGGGCCAGATGTCATAGAATGAGTCTAACAGCCTAGATGTATCTGACTACTTTCTCATGATTAAATTCCGATGAAACATTTTGGTAGAAATACTACATAGGTATAATGTGCCCTTCCCATTGTATCACATCTAGGGGTACATATTGGCATTTTGTACCATTATTATTGGTGCTAAAATTTGATCACATGGTAAAGGAAGTGTACTTCAGATTTCCTCATTAAAAATGTACCCTTCCCTTTCATACTTCACAAGTAATTTGTGTACAATACTTTTTATCTATCTATTGAGGGAGTCTTGCTCTGTCACTCAGGCTGGAGTGCAGTGGCATGATCATGGCTCACTGCAGCCTTCACTTCCTGGGCTCAGGTGATCCTCCCACCTCAACCTCCCAAGTAGCCGGGACTACAGGCGTGCACTACCACGCCCAGCTAATTTTTTGTAGAGATGGGATTTTACCATGTTGCCCAGGCTGGTCTTGAACTCCTGGGCTCAAGCAATCTGCCCACCTCGGCCTCCTCAAGTGTTAGGATGACAGGCATGAGCCACTGTGCCCAGCCTATAATACTTAAAAATCTTGTGCATATCCTGCTCATATGCATGAGAACAATCACCTTTCACCTTATGCTTTTTAGGTTCAGTGATGAGCTTGCAAGAATCAGTTACTCATTGGTGGTTACAAATAGGTATTTTTCTCATTCTACCATTCTTTTCACAATTATTTGCAGGTATTCTGTAAAGAAGAGCTTTTTCTGTCACAGGAGTGAGTCTTGAAAAAAGGAAAAAAAAAAAAAAAAGAAGAGCTTTATCTTCCTGCCACCACTGCCCCAATTATCTTCCATAAGTTTTTAACAGTAATATTAAAAAATTATCTTTAAACATTGGCTTAACACAGTTTAAACTTAAGCTTCTTTCAAGTACTTTAACATGTTCGCTTTTCTTATGAGAAACATTTCCTGCAAGGGAGCTAAGGCTATTAGGTTCTTTCCGAGGTTAATGCTGAAAATAACAAAGAGTCTTCTTTTCCTTTTGCTACCAAAGAAACATTTTGACATCGGTTTTAAATGCAATGACTGACAAAAATAAAATCTGCATGCATATTTTACACTAAATCGAGCAGAGATGAGTAAAGAGGAAAAATTGAAATTATCTGATGATAGCACTGAGAAATCCTGGCTAAGATTTAAGAATTCTGTTCACAGAAGTGTACACTTGTAAGCAACAACTTTAAAATGTCAAATTGAAAAACTCCCAAAATACACTGTTAGAGTGCATTAGAGATTTACACACTTTGAAGTTTAAGCTCTAGATTTTTACTAGACATTCTTATAACATTCTTATTTTCCTTCAATCTGGAAATGAGAGGTGTGAGGCAGACTGAACTTCACTTGGCTTGCCAAACTGGGAACCACAGCAAAGGTGGGAATATTGATTCTAACTCAAAAAGCTTATTTGAGAGATCACAATATTAGCCCTATTGACATATGGGAGAAAGAATACAAAATTGCAAAAGGAACAACCAAAAAGAGGTTACTTACTACCAATGTGTCCTCCACAGTATAGAGGTTTACTTTCTAAACTGCCACATTAGACAGTACTTATACCAATTAATCATTCCATATTGTGATGTAAGAATTTACAAATACAAAGAATTTTATCTGTTACCTTATGTGAAACTGATTGTATCTATCATCACCAGATGGTTTTTTAATAGCTACAGCTAACTTCTTCCATCCTTCTTGAGGATCAATAAAATCTGACAGCTTCCTAATCAGTCCAACATTGAGGCAGCGCACATATGTTGATGGTGTTATGGGTTTGTTCATCTTCTATTCCTAAAATATGGAAAAATCTCATTAAAATTTTATAGTACTTTTAGAGATGACATCTGTAAGCTTCTACATCACACTTTGCTATATGATATGAAATGCCAGCAACTGATTATACCATAATAAAGAAACATTCCAAAGTCAAGTCACTGATACCCTAAGATGAAACTAAAATTGTAATTCATTTGTCCAATTATCCTCTAGGTTTCCTTCCTTTTTCCACCTATTAATAGCAATAAAAAGCGGGGGACTTTTTTCTGACATTGATATTTTCCAAGTATAATTTATAGAAAGGGGCAATACACTTACCAGAGCAATTCTTTTTAGCAGTAATATCAATAAACTATCAGAATTAGCATATTCAGAAATCAAATCTATTAATAAAAACCTTTACCTTTCAATTTAATATATGTTGCTCAATCAGTACTCATTTACGATTAAAAATTTATGCAACGTTCTTTGGTAGAAGAAAAAAAAAGTACTGAAATGATTTGTGTAGCATTAACAGATAGGGTCCACCCACCCACTGTTCACATAGCTTGCTCTTCCTTGACCTCTGCACATTTTTTGAGTCCATGAGATCTGCCTGACCACAGTGCATTTGCTACTACGCCAAAACCTGTGTTTCACCACTTCAGCCACTCTCTAGACAGAATCTTTATTTCTGCAGTCCCCCTTTTCTTCTGCTACTCCACACTGGAGAGCTGCAGCTAGGGATAAATCTAACAATTTTACTTGTACACCAGAGTTGCTGATGTGAATACAAATTTATGGTAACCCCCTTTCCACATTAATGGCCTAACACTGCCATTAATCCTTCCACTTGTCTCCTCTCATTGTCCTTAGTGACTATTTCATATCTTTGCTTCTTTCTATGTGGATTTTATTTGTTCTGCATGTACCTCATTCTCAATAGGAAATGATCTTTCCTTCCAATTAAGACAAATAGACTCAGATGTTCTTATGTCACTTATTTTTGCTTCCCTATATATATTTTTAAAATACAATTTTAGAGTAAATAATGTGTTCATATGGAACAACATTCTAAAACTATCAAAAAGAGTAAAAAGCGAAAAGCTTCTCTGTATCATAGGCTTCTATATTAGTATTCACTTCCTCTCTTTGGACTTCTTTGACCACATCTAAATAGGTCTAGTTGCCCTTCACCTAATTATCTTTCATCATTGCACAATGTATTTGTAATCATATATTTATTTGTTTACTTGTTTACTGTCTCCCATATTAGATTTTAAGATCCATGAGTTCAGGACCATGCTAATTTTATTCATGAATATATACCTAGTGACGTGCACACTGTAGATAATGGTGTTGTTCAGTATTTATTTTAGGAACAACTAAATTATTTCCCAGTATGGTTTTATCATCTCTATTTTACAAAGGTGGTAAGTGAAAGATCCAGGACTTACACTTATGTCTGACTCCAAAATCCATGCCATACAACTCTGCTTTTATAACACAATGCATTGTTCATGTCATTCTCCTTTTCAGAAAGACTATTCCTTTCCTTTCATTCATGAATACATTCAGCAAATATTTATGTCAGTCTTTGTACTAACAAATGGGAGCACAGAGAAGAGAAAATCTTTGTTTCCAAGCTGTTCAGTATACCATGGGATACAAACAGTGACAGGGAGTGATAAAAGCTGCAAGAGTGTTATGGGGCCCAGAAAAAGGGCATCAAGCAGAGGCATTCTGGAGAGGGATATCAAGACAGATTTGCCTGGAGTGGGAGGTTGGAAGGATGAATGAAAGGGAATGAGAATAAGCCCAGAAGAAAATTCCAGGCAGAGGGAATAGCATGGGAAAAGGTGGGAGCACGTGTGTCTCAGGCAAAGAGCTTGCTATGGCTGCACCATAGGATGCCTGTGATTAAGTGAGAAGAGATGAGGGTGGAAAGGTAGCAGGGCCAGATCACCATGTACCTCACATGCTAAGACAAAGAGTTTGAACTTATAAACTAAAAGTTACAGGAGAGCCACTTCAGGATTTTTAGGAGGGATGTTAAATAATCTTACATGGTTAAGTGGATTCCTCTGGATAAAAATTAAAGGGTTGTATATTGAGGCAAGAAAATTAGTTTGAAAACTTCTGCAATAATCCAGGTGAGCAGAAATGAGAGCTTGGAAAAAGTATAGGGTATGGGAATGGAGAAGTAAAACATGAAAACATTTAGGAGGCCAAATCAAAACAATTTCACTAGAGATGAGCAATTACAAGAAAGGGAGATAGAACAAAGATGGTTTTTTTTGTTTGTTTGCTTTTGTTTTGTTTTTTTTTTTTTTTGACTCATGTTAAATGTGAAATATCTACCTTTGGCACCATCTAGGGGCCTTCATACCAAGTACTTATATATGCAGTATGGAGCTTAGGAGAGAGGTTTCAGCAAAGAATGCTCACTATGTAAGTATTCTCATATATAAGGGGTTTTCAAAAAGTTCATGGAAAATGCATATCATGCAAAAACCATGCATGGATTTCAAATTTTTTTTTGCAAAACATATTTCCAAAATAAACTCACACTAACTTATCATTCATGTCTAAATAGGATCTAGTTTGAGGCACTAAGAAGAATAAGACAGTTTGAAAAGAACCTCTACCACAGCAACATGAATTCTGCTAAAAGTGAAGCAAGAACAAACACCACATTTATATGGAGGTTGGTTGGAAGAATGGTGAAATCACTGATGCTTTATTGATGGGGACGATGCCCCCAAGAAAACCAGCAGCATACAAATCAGTAACTCATATTAAGGGATGAGATGATGTTGAAGATGAAGCCTGCTGCAGCAGACCATCCACATCAATTTTTGAGGAAAACATTCACCTGGTTCGTGCCCTAAATGAAGAGTACCTATAATTAACAGCAGAACCAACAGCAAACACCATAGACAACTAATTCAGCCTATACAATTCTGACTGAAAATAAAAGTTGAGCAAATTTTCCACTTGATGGCTGCCCAAACTGTTGCACCCAGATCAGCTGCAGATGACAGCAGAGCTTTCAATGGAAATTTTAAACAAGTGGGATCAAGATCCTAAAGCATTTCCTCAAAAAATTGTAACAGGAGATGAAACGTGACTTTACGAGTATGATCTTAAAGCACAAAGCAATGGCTCCCCCAGAATGGCAGCGGTCCAATCAAAGCAAATGCAGACAGTCAAAAGCAAGGGCATGACCGCAGCTTTTTGGGATGCTCAAGGTATTTTTGCTTGTTGACTTTCTGGAGGTAAAAAGAATGGTAACATCTGCTTATTAGAGAGTGTTTTCGAGAAACAGTAGCTTTTCTAAATGTTTCTAAACTAAAGCTTTTCTGCTAAAGCTTTAGTCAAATGTTTAGCAGAAAAACGCCTAGGAAAGCTTCTCCATCACAACAATGCCCCTCCTCTTTTCTTTCATCAAACAAGGGCAATTCTGTGAGTATCAACTGGAAATCATCAGGCATCCACTTTACAGTCCTGATTTGTCTCCTTCTGACTTCTTTTTGTTTCCTAATCTTGAAAACTCTTCATAGGGCACCCATTTTTCTTCAGTTAATAATGCAAAAAGGCTTTATTGACATGGTTAAATTCCCAGGACTCTCAGTTCTTTAGGGATGGCCCAAATGGCTGGTGTTATCACTTACAAAAGTGCCTTGAACTTCATGGAGCTTATGTTCAGAAATAAAGTTTACAGTTTTTTGTTTTTTGAGTCTCGCTCTGTCATCCAGGTTATAGTGCAGTGATGCAATCTTTGCTTACTGCAACCTCTGCCTCCCAGGTTTAAGTGATTCTCCTGCCTCAGCCTCCCAAGTAGCTGGGATTACAGGTATGCACCACAACACCCAGCTAATTTTTGTATTTTTGGTAGAGATGGGGTTTCGCCATGTTGGCCAGGCTGGTCTTGAACTCCTGACCTCAGGTGATCTGCCCACCTTGGCCTCCCAAAGTGCTGGGATTACAGGGATGAGCCATAGCGCTGAGTCAAAGTTTACATTTTTTATCTTTTAATTCAATTTTTCCACAAACTTTTTGAAATGCCCTCATACAAATTAAGAGCATATACATATATACGGTTGAAACAACAATAAAATGAAGTTGCCTATTAGGAATGCTTAGAATGGAAAGGAATGATGTGAAAGAAGAATTTTAAAAAATACTGCTTAGTCATGAAGGCAAGAAAAAAAAAACAGGACAGTGGCATACCAGAGACTTCTAGAAAAGGCGGCAGGTTGGTACAAAAGACTCAGAGAGGTCAAATAGACACTGATGGAGATGTTAGACTCTGAAATCAGAAGGCCATTGGTGACTTGGGAACAGCTATAGTGAAAAAGTGAGTGAATGGCAAAAACAGATTTTCCAAGAAGTCTCATTATGAAGGGAAGGAGAAAGAGAGAGGAGTGTGAGCAGAGGGAAAACAAGGGTGGAGGGGTAGGGAGAGAGAGGGAGAGAGCACGCAAGAGAATAGCAGTTTTCAAATTTGGTCTCAGGACCTTTTACCCTCTTAAAAACGATTGTAGACCCCAAAGGGCTTTTGTTTATGTTGGTTATATCTACCAATATTTACCATATTAAATTGATGCTGAGAAATTTAAAAATTACTTATTAATTCATTTAAAATAATCATAAATATACATGTTAGCATATATATCTTAATAAAAATAACTACCTTTTCCTCAAAAACAGAAGAGTAACATTGTTTTAAGGTTTTGCTAATCTCTTCAATATTTAACTCAATAGAAGAGAGCCAAATTCTTATATCTGCTTCTGCACTCAACCCACTGAAGTATATTGTTTTGGTTGATGTATACGAAGAAAATCCAGCTTCACACAGACATATAGTTACAAAGAAAGGTGTATTTTAATAGCCTTTTCACAAACTAGTAGATATTTCTCTTTGATACTACACTAAAATTTGAAAGAAATAACTTCCTAAAGGTAAGCTGCAATGTGGAATCCGAAGCTGTATAAATTAACTTGGAACATTAAAATCCATTGCATTCTGAATGAATCTTTTAACTATACATGATTTTGACCTTATAAATCTCCTGAAAGAGCATTAGGGACTCCAACCAGACTTTGAGAACTGTTGGTGTTAAGGGTTTAAGACTTAAGTTGTTTGGCAATACAAATGGGATAATGAATAGCATACAGGTGAAGAAATCAGCCTTGAATAGAGAGAAGTCTCTTTTGAATCTAGAAAGAAGGACGCAGAGGTTTAAATACAGATATATTTGAAGGGAGAAGAGTTCCCACATAGTGTTATTTTTTTCTGTGAAACAGGAAGTGAAGTCGTCTAGGGCCAGGTAAAAGAATAGCCCATGTACCTTAAAGGCCCCCTGGTAAATGCCTATTTTTCCTTCAAGCCCAATTCAAAAGGCACTGTTAGCTTCCCCTGATTGTCATCTCTTTTGCTCCAAAATGTCACGTAGTCATTCTTCTGTTCTAATAATTATTATGTTTTACTGTTTACGTATCTGCTTTCTCTGTTAGATGGGTGCTCTCCTGGCTGGGACCCAACCAAATTCACCTCAGCAACGACTCACGACATTTGTGTTGAATGAAAGGCTGAGGATTTTTAAATTTTAATTAAGAAATTGTATCTAGGTTACCTATAGACTCTGCAGTTGCTCTCTTCAAGTTATTTTTCCTTATTAAGATTTCTCTCTACTGTAAGGTACAACATGATTGACAAAGCTAGAAAAGATAGAACTGCTTAGTAGTCTTATAAATTAGAGCTAAATACAAGGAACTGAGGAAAAAACCCAGACTATCTAAAGGCCAGGGATAAATTTGGTAGCTTTCCTGCACCCAGGCTTCCAGCAGAGGTGATGAGTGTAGGGATACTAGGAAAAAGGCCTTCTGCCAACTCTTCCACACATGTGCCCAGAAGTTCAAAATCCCAGAAATTAAAATTTTACTTTAAATGTACATTCATATACCACTCCCAACCACATACTTACAAGAACATAAGCCAAAATATTAACAGTGGTTATCCCTTGGTGATGACTTTTATGATAGTTTTGTTTTCGTTTTGCTTTTCTGAATTTTCAATAATGAAAACACACTGTGCAAAAAAACTTTAAAAGTGTCATCTCTTTCAAACTGTTCAAGATTTACCTTAGTACACTTAGGATTAATACAGGAGGCTTTGCTTACAAATAAATAATTAAATACCTTCATGACTGTTTCGTCTTACCACTAACTCTCATAGTAAAGAAAACCCATTCATATTTGCAAATAAGACAACTCAGACAAGTATAAAAGGTGGGGTGGTGATTGAGAAATATATTAAAATCAGCACCTGCTTATGGAATCCAATGCCTTCCCAAACAAAGTACTGTGCCCAAAACAGGAGGGCAAAAGATTCTTGTCAAATGTGTTAATAAAGTTTTAAGACTGCTTCATTAGCACTTTGATCAGAGGAAAAGATTGTGCAGCGGTGGAGGGAAGATGAACTTTGAGGTTGCACAGGCCTAAGTTCTAACCAAAGCCAACTGTGACCAGAGTTAGTAATTATATTTCTCTGGACCTTGCTTTTCTTTATCTGAAAAACAGAGATAGTAATATCTAAGAATTGCTGTAAGAATTAAAATCAACACATGCAAAGGGCCAAATCTTGTCACATAATAGGTGGTCAAAAAAAAAAAAAGGAGCAATTATTATTTTCCGGCAGAAATTATTCTTATATAACTTTTTTTTTTTTAAAGATATGTGCACAGTTGTATTTAGGTTCAATTTCCAGAACACTAATGAGGAGCTACTGAAAGGGTACAAATAACAAGTCTGAGAAAATAACTAAGCTTTTGAGATGGTGGCAGTCTTTTTTTTTTTTTTTTTTTTTGAGATGGAGTCTCGCTCTGTCACCCAGGCTGGAGTGCGGTGGCGCCATCTCTGCTCACTGCAAGCTCTACCTCCCGGGTTCACACCATTCTCCTGCCTCAGCCTCCCGAGTAGCTGGGACTACAGGCGCCCACAACCTCGCCCGGCTAGTTTTTGGTATTTTTTAGTAGAGACGGGGTTTCACCGCGTTAGCCAGGATGGTCTCGATCTCCTGACCTTGTGATCCGCCCGTCTCAGCCTCCCAAAGTGCTGGGATTACAGGCTAGAGCCACCGCGCCCAGCCCTGGTAGTCTTATTTGATCAACCATGGTACTTTTAATATATTTATATCCTTTCTAAAATACACTATTTACTTCCATATATTCTTAGCAAAATATACTGTATAACCATTAATCTTTATTTTTAGATACTTTAACATCATCATTATGAACAAAAGCTGGTGAGGCCTTCCAGAGCTATTAAATTAGATAGGGCTGCCTATTACAAACTGGGATATGTGCTGGTGTACCATAAATTAAAGATAACACATCTTTCTTGAACATTGATCCAACACAACAGTAAGTAATTGAAAATGCTTTGCATATATTTAAGAAACAAAATATAATACCACTGACTCACCAAATATTTACTGAGTGTCTACTATGTGCTAGATACTGCTCCAGGCCCCTGGAGATGAAGCATTAGGAAAATTAGAGAAAACACAAACAAACAAACAAAAACCTGAACTCATGGAGTTTATATTCTAATGGAGGAAGGCAGGCAATAAGCAAATAAATAAACTCTATAGTATGTTAGATGGTGCCAAGTGAAATGAAAGAACAAAACGAAACAGAGAAAGGGTTGCAATTATAAATAGGGTAGTCAGAGGAAGCCTCAATAAGAAGGTGTCATTTGATTAAAGGTCAAAAAGAAGGAGAAAGCCAGCCACTGGACTATCTGGGAAAAGTTTGCGGACAAAACGCAAACGTAAATGCAAAGGTTGGAAATGGGCCCACTGGGCAACAGCAAGGACATGGTGAGACTGCATAGGAGGGAACAGGCAAGTAGCAGATGAGGTTAGAAAGGTAAAGAGGCCAGGTCTCCAAGGGCCTTAGAGTTTTTGCATTGACTTTGTTTATACCCTGGGTGAGATGTAGAGGCTGGAAGTTTTGAGAAAAGAAAGACATGCTCTATACTCATGTCTTAGAAGGATACCGGGGCTGCTGGGAGTAAAGGATGTTGGAGTAAGGACAGAGAAGCAAGAAAGAGGCATCTAGGAGAGCCTACCAACAAGCCAGGTGGGAGGGGCTGGAGGCTGGGACGAGGGTGGTAGCAGAGCAAGTGCATAAGTCCTAGGATTCCGAGGTGGAGCCAATAGAAAGCTATGTGCTGATGTGAAGAGTGAGAAGACAGCACCAAGGTTTTTGGCGTAACCAAGTTTCCCGATATTTACTGAGATGGAGAAAGCTGAGGAAGGAGCATGTTCGGCCTGGAATATCAGAAGCTCAGTTTGGAGACGTAGAAGGCAAACTTCAAACGAACGCTTTGCACGAAAACAGAAGAAATTTGAACTTCCTGATAGCCCTCTTCAAGGACCACTCCAAGAAAGGGAAAAGGCAGATTTTAATATCCTGTGCTTACAAGGGACCTTGGGCAGTTACGTTTTTGAAGCACTAATAGCGCCGTTTCTTTCCATTCTAAATGCTCAAAGTGCTTTCTCGCTTTCCCAGGGTTTGCTTTTTTTTTTTTTTTCTTTTTTCTTTTGAGACGTCGTCTCCCTCTGTTGCCTAGGGTGGAGTGTAGTGGTGCGATCTTGGCTCACTGCAAGCTCCGCCTCCCGGGTTCAAGCGATTCTGCTGCCTCAGCCCCTGGAGTAGCTGGGATTACGGGCGCCCGCCACCATGTCAGCTAATTTTTGTATCTTAGTAGAGACGGGGTTTCACCATGTTGGCTAGGCTGGTCTCGAACTCCTGACCTCAAGTGATCCGCCCGCCTCGGCCTCCCAAAGTGCTGGGATTACAGGCATGAGCCACCGCACCTGGACAGGGTTTGCTTTTATCCCTTTGTCTCTCTCTGGCTTCCAAGCTGACACTTTTTCCCCTATCTGCGAATGTACCCATCTGATCCCATAAGCCCCCTCCACTTTCTAATTCCCTGGAAGCTTGGAGGCCGGAGAAACAAGCGAATTACAATCGTGTGGAGGCTCCGCGAGCTGTCGGAGCCACAGGCATCTGTCAGGTGCTGGCCTGACTTCCTGGTTCTGGGGAAGATTCTTCATTTCGCAATCGGGCTCACGGAACCCAGGGCCTGGGAGGTGAGAAACTTGAGGTCCGACTGCGCCCCAGAACAGCTGAGTGACGTCCCTCCAAGCCTCAGGCTCTTTCTCAGGGCCGCCGAACTTCTTGATTCCCGGGGACCTACCCAAGTCTTTCTTCTGGAGTAAGCTCTGTCCACGGAACCCACTTCCTCTCTAACTTTTCTCACGGATGATAGAGATTTCCGTTCCGCAACCTACCACAGCAACCCTGAGGCAGAGGTGCCAAGACCTGGAAGCGGACCTCGGACGACCTTTGACCGAGGCATGAAGGCGGGGAATGCCTTACCTGCCCGGGCGCGGGCTGCTGAAGCCGGCGACAGAAGAACCAGCCGAACTAGGAAGCGCCGTGGAGGGGCGGGGCCAACCCGGCAGGCCCCTCCCCACTTCCCCGATGGCTTCATCTTGGCGCCTTCAGGCGGCTCCACAAAGTGAGAAACTCCGTGTCTTGCGTAGGGCGCGTCTTTACGTGGGCGCCTGCCCCTTTAATTACGCCCCTGTCGGAGGCTGAAACGCTGAAGGCTTCCGGGCATGCGCACAGCGTTGTGCAAATGAATGCTTTCCACTGAACCGAGGTAGATCGGGTCGAGCTTCTTGCGCGATGGTGGGCTTGTATGCGGGGGGGTGACGAGATTGGCATTGAACCATCCATACCCTTTGTCCCCAAAGAAGGGTGACGTGGGCTAGTGTCGCGCCTTTGGACAGGCAGAGTTAGGGGAGGGAGAAGAAACAGGTAGAGTTGCTGGCCTTGTCGGGGACACTTTTGGACGTGCTGGAGGGCAGCGACGCCCTAGTTCTGCGAAGTTAAGTAGCTTCTGCAGGACTGGGTTCAGTATCTCTAATACCTTCTCAGGATCCCTCTTCAGCCAACGAATTCCTCACACACACGCGCCAAGCAAACTACTCCCCCCGCCCCCCCCCCCGCCCCCCCCGGCACCCCGCTCCACACTGTCATGAGCAGTTTCTGTTGAATGGGAACACTGCACCTTCAGGCTTAACGCCATGTGGGCTCCTTTGCTGCCCTCCAGTTCGGTTCCACTCTTTTACCAGAATGCTGGAATTACATTCTCCCCAAGTTTCCCTACCTGTTTCACTTGCTTAGAATGTCTATCTCCATTTTTTTGGGAGAAAGAAAAGATCATTATTCTTTCAGAGCCAATCCCTACAGCTATGTTCTTGACCACGCTGTTTTGTTTTTCAACTCCTCTAACTGTTACTCCGTCGGATACATCCTGCTCATTTCCATCAGAATCATCTTACTAAAGCCTGTTTTGGGATTGTGTCCCTTTTCTATTCAAACACTCACAGCCATCCATTGACCACCCAATAGATTCTAAGTCCTTGTCAGGGCATTCAACATCTTCCATAATCTGGTATGAACTCAGCTGCATTTTCCAGCACAGTACTCTCCCTGCCTCCCCATCCCCACTGCTCTGTATCTGGACTGTTTGTTTTTCTCTCACACGTTGCATGTTTTGTTTGTACATTACTTGTGAGGTCACTGCCTCATTTCTATCTCTTGAACTATTGGAGGACTTAGATGGCCACTTCTTGCATTATGCCTCTCCTAATTATCTTCCACTTCACTCCTACAGCACTTATTTTGTACTAGCTTTTTCATTTATTTAACAATAGTATTTATTGCAGACCTACCATGTGCTTGACACTGTTCAAAATATGGGATCATCAGTAGTAAATAAGGCAGACAAGCTTACTCCTCACGTGGAACTAACATTCTCTTTGGAGGAGATAGACAATAAATAATAAAGAAAAACTTTACCTAGAACTGCTATGCAGAAAATTAAATAGGGTTTTGTGAAAGAGAATCACTTGCTGGGCGCGGTGGCTCACGCCGGTAATCCCAGCACTTTGGGAGGCAGAGGCGGGTGGATCACAAGGTCAGGAGTTTGGGACCAGCCTGGCCAATATGGTGAAAACCCGTCTCTACTAAAAAAATACAAAAATTAGCCAGGCGTGGTGGCGCGTCCCTGTAGTCCCAGCTACTCCGGAGGCTGAGACAGGAGAATCGCTTGAACTCGGGAGGCAGAGGTTGCAGTGAGCCGAGATAGCGCCACTGCACTCCAGTCCGGTGACAGAGTGAGACTTTGTGTCAAAAAAAAAAAATCACTTGCAGGTTCCTGTAGATTATTGGCCAGGAAAAACTTCTCTGAGGGCATGAATCCTAAAAGATGCAGCTATATGGTTGGGGAGGGAACAATTTAGACAACAGGAACAGTTAGCACAAAAGTACTAAAGAAGGCCAGAGTAGCTGGAGTATAGCGGGTAATGGGGGTAAAGGTACAAAAAAATTTGGAAAATAAACAGGGTCCCTAATCTTAGACGTCCTTGGAAGCCAGGGTAAGTAATTTGGATTGTATTGCAAATGTGATTAGAGGGTTTTAAACTGGATTGTGATATGATTTAATTTACCTTTTAAGACACCATTCTGGCTGGTTTGTGGGCTAGTTGTAGAAGCAGGAGTTAGGGGCCTTCACAACAACTAAAAGTTTTTGGAATGGAAGTATTAAAGTAGGTGTGATGAAGGACAGTGGGAGTGATAAAAATCAGATGCTTAAGGTTAATGCAGTTGTTGGAGATGAGAAAGTCAAAGTTATGACCATGACAGTGGATGACCAAGATGAAGCAGAGGTGTGAGGTTGAGGTTGAGATTGAGGACTTGAGGGTCCAAGACATTGAATGGATGATCCATATAGATGATCATGAAAATCATGTTGCATAAGAAGGTAGTGAGCCAGAGATCAGTGAATGAAGCAGAGTTGTCTGGGGATCCGAGAGAGTATGACAACAGATGGTAAAGCCCAATAGCAGGCTCTTCAAAAGAATTGGTTTTTTGGAAGTAGTAGAGGAAGAAATGGCTTGCAAGGAACAGTAACAAACATAGAACAATATTTACAGCCTCCAGGTCCTAAGGTAGATGGGTGGGAAAGAAAAAATAGCCCTCACTTGAGAGGACTAAGGAAGAAGCAGCCTGAAAAAATAGCCAGCTTTCAATTAGGGCAAGAAAGTGAGGGAACTGTACAGGAAATTAAGTAATTAAGGAAAATAAATATATCTTATATTTTCCTTAGGAAATTAGGATATGGAGAATTTGTTGTGATTTCTATATGGCATGATTGAAAGGATTGAGAAGGGATGTGATTTGCTAAATTGGTTCAGAATAGTAGAATACATTATAGATATGAGATGATGGTCCAGATGATGATAAATTACTTGGAGAATGTGGGTAAACACAGAACTCAGTAGTAGGGGGGCCCCTGGGCAATTTATCTTTCCTGCAGCTCCATATCGTATGGTAGCCATGGGTTTGTGTGAAAGGTGAGAGATCAGAGTACTATTCTCTTGCATAGTGTTCCCAGGAAGCTCTGTAAGGTTTCTTCAGTCTGATGCCAATGATATAGTTAGAACTTTCCTCTGGGTCAACCTTGAAAGCTTCTATTTGTCCTAATGGGGGCATTAGAGAAGGCCCAGGACTGACTTAATCCTACCTTGAAATATAATCAAATCACAAATTTGTATTTATAACTTCATTTACCCATCAGTTTTCCTATTGTCTTCTTGTCACCTCTCCTGTCACTAACCACTAATAATGTAAGAAAACTTAGCCACATATTCTCTGGAATTAGCTGGAGATTTTAGACTCCAGGAATGGAATTTGGACAAATCTTGGTTTTATAGTCCTGTGTTCTCACCTCTTCTTGTGGGCCTACAAATGATATTTTTAAGATAAACTTAAAATTGACTCATTTTAATCCTGGATAATAGGTACAAATCTGGAGTGAGTGAAGATACAAGTTAACAAATCTTTAGCTATACCAGAAATAGTTTGCCTATTATTTCAGCTTGGTATAGGAGAGTCCAAGTACACAGGATGTACATATAGTTATAAATTAACGATGCCATTTAAGAAGACTCAGGATTAAAAGAGAGACAGAATTAACTAAATCCTGCAAACCTATTCCTATCTGGTCATCCATAATTTCTCTTTCTGTTAACTAACCACCTCTTTGTTTTGTTTTTTAGGCATTATTATAGAAGAATGGAAGAAGATACAGATTATAGAATCAGATTTAGTTCTTTGTGTTTCTTTAATGATCATATTGGATTTCATGGCACTATAAAAAGCTCACCAAGTGACTTTATTGTTATTGAAATTGATGAACAGGGACAATTAGTTAATAAGACCATCAATGAGCCTATTTTCAAGATTAGTGAAATACAACCTGAGCCAAATAATTTTCCCAAAAAAACAAAACTAGATCTTCAAAATCTGTCCTTTGAAGATGGAAGAAACCAAGAAGTTAATACTTTGGTTAAGTACACTGATGGTGACCAAAATCATCCGTCTGGTTCAGAAAAGGAAGATACTATCAGTGATGGAACTTCCAAATGTGAAGAAAAAGCTGATGTTTTAAGCTCCTTTTTAGATGAAAAAACTCATGAGTTACTGAATAATTTTGCCTGTGATATAAAAGAGAAGTGGCTTTCTGAAACAGAGCTAATTGGACTACCTCTTGAATTCTCAATAGGCAGAATCCTTGACAAAAACCAGAGGGCTAGTTTACATAGTGCCATTAGGCAGAAATTTCCATTTTTAATAACTGTAGGAAAAAACAGTGAAATTGTTGTAAAACCAAATCTTGAGTATAAAGAACTTTGTCATTTGGTATCTGAAGAGGAAGCATTTAACTTTTTTAAGTATTTGGATGCGAAGAAAGAAAATTCCAAATTTACCTTTAAACCTGATGCAAACAAAGACCACAGAAAAGCTGTCCACCATTTTGTCAACAAAAAGTTCGGAAACCTTGTGGAAACCAAATCTTTTTCTGAGATGAATTGCAGTACTGGTAATCCGAATGTGGTGATAACAGTAAGATTTCGGGAAAAAGCACACAGGCGTGGGAAAAGGCCTCTTCCTGAATGCCAAGAAGGAAATGTTATTTATACAGGTAATTTAATAAATAATCATCCATTTTCTTGGATAAACTTAGTTAAATTTAAAGTTGTGAAAATGAATTGAATAGACTTGGCTAGAGAGATTGGAAAGAATACATGCTTTACCTTTAGGGAGGGGAACTGCTGATAAGCAATTTAAGCAACTCTAGGAATTCTTATTTATTCTGTTACTGGAAGATGATAAAACCTTTCAAATTACACTGAATTTAAAAATTAGCCTTACTGATAACCTAGGCATTTATGTTAGCCTATTCACAAATGTCTAAAGTTGAATCAGTTGGTTTGTGTTTAATAAGTTTTATTGAAGGTAAATCTTGATTTCATATTTTGGAAGTCATCTCAATTAAAATTAAGTTTTTAGAGATAAGAAGAATATATTTACTGTGCTTGGGAAAGTGAAGAGATACTTTGTAATCCAAAACAAATTATATTTCCCTACCTTGGGTAGGGAACCTGAAAACTTGGTCCTGCTGGTCATCTAGACAAGATGTTCTGAAACTTTAGCATGCATATAATCATCAAAAGGTCTTGTTAAAACAGATTTCACAGCCCCATTCTCAGTTTCTGATTCTGGGGCTTTCACAAATTTCCAGACTCTTTTTTTCCTGGTCTGCTACATTTTGAGAATCACTGTTTTAGGGTCTGTGTTTAATTCCCAGGGTGGCTGGAACTGATGAACTCTCACTATAAAAGTCCAGCTGACTAGGTTTAACTGGCCTCAATTCTACTTGAAGGATGGGAACTGTTTCAGATGATCATATTTAATAAATTAGAGTTTGAACCTTGGAACTATGTGGGTTTGATTTGATATTATGACTTTTAGTTCACAAAAAGACTTATGAAATTTTTAATGTCTTTAAGATTTGATTTCATAAATGTAAAAATGGGAAGAATAATACCACGGGCAAGTTACTTAATAATTCATAACTTTTGGTTGTACTTGAAAAATGGGGTAATAGGAAAGCCTGACACACAATGATATTCTAAGGATTAAATGAAATAATGAAATTGTTTACTATGTAATAGTTACTTAATATTAGCCATATAGTAAGTGTTAACAGATATATCCATTTTGAAGGAAAAACAATACTAGCTTTACATGTAGAAAGAGGAATTGCTGGTGAGTGATTTAAGCAGCTCTAGGAATTTTTATTTATCTTATACTACTTGAAATTCTAACAATATTAATTTGGGTTAATGAGTAAAAAAATTATAGAACTTTATATATTAGTTTAAATTCGTTTTTCTAAAGTTGTGAATAGTTGGAGGCATATGTTAAAAGGAGGAATGATGGTTCAAAAAACCTTTTATTTTTTATTTTAAATTATGTTAAAATATACATAACATAAAGTGTACCATCTTAATCATTTTTAAGTATCAGTGGCATTGAGGACATTCACATTGTTGTACATCTATCACCTCCATTCATCTCCAGAATTTTTTCACCATCCCAAACTAAAACTCCATATTTATTAAACAATCCCTCCTCCTCTCCAGCTCTGAAAAATGGGAACTACCATTTTTCATTCTGTCTGTACGGATTAGACAGCTCTAGGTATCTCATATAAGTGGAATCATACAGTATTTGTCTTTTTGTAATGGGCTTGTTTCACTTAGTATGTTTTTGACATTTATCCTTGTTGTAGCACGTGTTAGAATTTCCTTCCCTTTTAAGGCTGAATAATACCCCATGGTAGGTGTATGCCACATTTTGTTTACCCATTTGTCTGCCAGTGGATGGGATATAATGGTCAATAAAGCACACATGATATTTGCTTTGGAAGCATTCAGCCTTGGAACTTGGAAAGAATTTGAGGGAGAATGTGGATGTGAGATGACTTTTGAGGCTACGTCACAAAAGTATTACACTTCTTGTCATGTTCTTGGATTGCTCATTCTGGGGAAAGCTAGCTACTGTACTGTGAGGATACTCAAACAGCCCTTTGGATAGGAACTATAGTTTCATGCCGATAGCCAGTACCAACCTTCCAGCCATGTGAATGAGCCCCCTTTGGAAATGGATCCTCTACTTTCTTTCAGGCTTTTAAATAACTGCAGCTCTAGCCACATCTAACTGCATGCAACCTCAGGAGAGCCTGAACTAGAATCACCAAACCAAAGTGTTCTTGAAGTCCTGATCCGCAGAAACTATAGGCAATACATGAATATTGTAAGCCACTAAGATTTGAGGTGACTTGTTATGTAACAATAAATAATACATAGCATTTAACCCTGGATATGCACAAATTACTGATCAGCAACAAACTCAAGGAACCACTTATGTAGATTTCTGGAACTCCTCTACAAAGCTTTGTTTTTTGTCTTACTCTCCCTGTGAATTCTCTTTGTCTTACTCTCCCTGTGAATTCCAGCCCACTCAGCCTTCCTGAATTCCAATATCTACCCTCTTAACTCAGCAGAACTCCTGTGCTCTACCTGGATTCTGTCTGTGCTATGTTCCAGAATGTACTTCTAGGCAAAAAATTAGAGTATTTTAGGACTCCTCTCGTTTTTCTTTTCTTTTCTTTTAGATTACAGTTTTGTGGTACCTATTCTCCAGTCTCTAAAAATGGCTGTTTCATATATTTTGTTCAGTTTTCTATTTGTTTACAGTGGGAGGTCATCTGGTATCAGTTATTCCAACATGGCTCAAAGTGCAAGTCTCTAAAATTGAATTTTAAAATTCAGTATAATTGACTTTCTTTTTAAATATGTAATTGTTCCAAGTAATTAAGAAAATGTTATAAATCTTATACATTAAACTTATACATTTAGTGAGCCTTAAGATTTTGTAAATGTTCCCATTTTGCTTACTAACTTAAATAAGATTCAATGTAAAAAGACGAATATAAATCAATTAAATATTTTAAATTGGAACTACAAGTTTCATTCTCTTAAACATTCAAGTGCATAAACTTTTATGTAGATACAGATTAATATTAACACAATATCATGGATTTGATCCTCTTAAATATATTTCTATACTAAATTCTAAATCTTTATGGGTGAAAAAATGCTTATCCACCTAGGCTACTATCAGCAACAAACTGATATCTCAAACAAGTTGGGAATTTCTTTTAAATTGCTGAACTTTTTGAATGACATGTCCAAAATTGTCAGGGCGAATGGCTGCTGCTGTTGGACCTTCAAGAATGCATAGAAGTAAGAAATAATAAATGGAAGGAACATATTTTATTTTACAATTTTTATTTTAGTTTCAGGGGTACATGTGCAGGTTTGTTACAAGGGTATATTGTGTGATGCTGAGATTTGGGATAGATTGAACCCATCACCCAGGTAGTGAGCATAGTACCCAATAGGTAGTTTTTCAGCCCTATGCCCTCCCTCCCTCCTACCTCTTATATACCCCAGTGTCTGTTGTTTCCATTTTTATGTACATGTGTACCCAGTGTTTAGCTCCTACTTATAAGTGAGAACATGCAGCATTTGGTTTTCTGTTCCTTTGTTAATTCACTTAGGATAACGGCCTCTAGCTGCATCCATGTTGCTGCAAAGGGCATGATTTTGTTCTTTTTTGCTGTGTAGTATTTCATGGTGTGTATGTACCACTTTTTTTTTCTTTGAGACAGGGTCTCACTCTTTCACCCAGGCTGGAGTACAGTGGCACCATAGTGGCTTGCTACAGCCTCAACCTCCTAGGCTCAAGCAGTCTTCCCACCTCAGCCTCCTGGGTAGCTGTGATGACAGGTATGTGCTACCACACCTAGCTAACTTTTTAATTTTTCGTAGAGATGGGGTCTCCATATGTTGCTCAGTCTGGTCTTAGATTGTTTGCTCTTGGAATCTTTCTGCCTCAGCCTCCCAGAGTGCTGTGATTACAGGCATCATCTACTGTACCCAGCCACATTTTCTTTATTGAATCCACTGTTGTTGGGCACTTAGGTTGATTCCATATCTTCACTATTCTGAATAGCGCTGCAATGAACACACAAGGGGAACTCATGTTTTAGAGGACTGAAATGTATGAAAGTACAAAACTGTTGAAGGCTCTAGTTAATCCAGGGATTACAAGAAGTTCTCTGTGGCAGGGTTATAGGATATATGAAGGGAAGTGGTGCACTTGGAGACTGGAAAGGTAGATTTGGGCCAGATATGAATACCAAATTAAGGAATTTGGATTTTTTTGCCTGTAAGCCTTCAATGAGCCAACCAACAGTTTAAAAATAACAGCTGAAATCGATCATGCTGATTTTATATTTTCATTAAAAAATACTCCTTACAGCTGGGTATGGTGGCTCACTCCTGTAATCCCAGCACTTTGGGAGGCAGAGGTGGGTGGATCACGAGGCCAAGAGATCGAGACCATCCTGGCCAACATGGGGAAACCCTGTTCCTACTAAAAATACAAAAATGAGCTGGGCGTGGTGGCATTTGCCTGTAGTCCCAGGTACTGGGGAAGCTGAGGCAGGAGAATCGCTGGAACCCGGGAGGCGGAGGAGTGAGCCTAGATCACGCCCCTGGACTCCAGCCTGGTGACAGAGTGAGACTTCGTCAAAAACAAAACAAAACAAAACAAAAAAAAACCAACTCCTTACATTAATAGTTCGATTCATTATACTAATCTGTTAACTAAGAATGTAATTGATATATGGTAGCTGCTTTTTTTGTGATCTAAGATTTTTTTTTGTTTCAGCTTTTACCCTACGAAAGGAAAACCTGGAAATGTTTGAAGCAATTGGTTTTTTAGCTATCAAACTTGGTGTTATTCCTTCGGATTTTAGTTATGCAGGCCTTAAAGACAAGAAAGCCATCACCTATCAAGCAATGGTTGTTAGAAAAGTGACTCCAGAGAGGTAATAAGATAATTACTTTATAAGACTGAACTTTGGTCGGGCGCAGTGGCTCACGCCTGTAATCCCAGCACTTTGGGAGGCCAAGGTGGGCGAATCATGAAGTCAGGAGATCGGTACCATCCTGGCTAATACGGTGAAACCCCGTCTCTACTAAAAATACAAAAAATTAATTAGCCGGGCTCGGTGGCGGGCACCTGTATTCCCAGCTACTCGGGAGGCTGAGGCAGAATGGCGTGAACCTGGGAGGCAGAGCTTGCAGTGAGCCGAGATCGCGCCACTGCACTCCAGCCTGCGTCTCAAAAAAAAACCAGACTGAATTTTACTTTCATACTTCATCCAATAAATACGTATAAGATCAAAAGCTCTGAATAATACTGGGAGCATATTAACCTCACTATTAATATTCACCAATTACATACTTATTGAACAGCACATTCTGTATTCATAATTGTCTTCTAAATAGAGATATGTCTTAAGTTTACATTGAAAATATAGGAAGTTTTAGGATGGAAACTTTGAGAAGTGGAAGATTTGAATTGTCTAAATTGTTTCTAAACATCCTGTACTGTATTCAAATATGCATTTATATTCAGAAAAGCACCTTATAAATCATGTTTTCCTAATTAATTATATTATGCCTTTATTATCATAGATCCTTACATTTAAAATCCTTGTTAAATGAATGTAAAGTACTCAAATTTAGCCTCCGTCAGCTTAATCAAATTTTATGCATTTTTTTGTAACTATAAAAGACATATATTTATTGTGGAAAATAGAAAAAAGTTTTTTAAAAATGAAGTTACTAGTAAGCCTACTACTGAGAAATAACTACAACAGGCTGGGCATGATGGCTCATGCTTGTACTCCCAGCACTTTGAGAGACTGAGGCGGGCGGATCACTGGAGGTTAGGAGTTGGCCTGGCCAAAATGGCGAAACCCCCTCTCTACCAAAAATATAAAAAATTAGCCGGATGTAGTGGCATGTGTCTGTAATCCCAGCTACTTGGGAGGCTGAGGCAGGTGAATTGCTTGAACTGGGAGGTGGGAGTTGTAGTGAGCGGGTTTCATACCACTGCACTCCAGCCTGGGCCACAGAGCGAGACTCTGTCTCAAAAAAATAAATAAAAATAAAAATAAATAACTGCAATAACATTTTTCTCTCTTTCTTTCTAGACCCTTTTCAGAGACTACATCACACAGAAACTTTTTTTTATTATTTATTATTTATTATTTTTTTGAGATGGAGTTTCACCCATGTTGCCCAGGCTGGAGTGCAGTGGCCGGATCTCAGCTCATTGCAAGCTCTGCCTCCCAGGTTCACGCCATTCTCCTGCCTCAGCCTCCCGAGTAGCTGGGACTACAGGCGCCCGCCACCTCGCCCGGCTAATTTTTTTTTGTATTTTTAGTAGAGACGGGGTTTCACCATGTTAGCCAGGATGGTCTCGATCTCCTGACCTTGTGATCCACCCGTCTCGGCCTCCCAAAGTGCTGGGATTACAGGCTTGAGCCACCGCGCCCGGCCTAATTTCCTTAAGATAAACTTCAAAATGTAAAAAATTGGGTCAAAATTCAGCCTAATTAATGTAATATCGATATGTTAATTCTTAGTTAACACATGTTTAAGTATCCACTATATACAAGTAGACTCTTCTGAGTGCTTCTAAGCTCTTACATGGGGGACAAAAAAAAAGTATTTGAGTTTGCTTTTGTGGTCGAGAAGTGCAGGATAGGGCAGAAAGAAGGACTTTAGATGTTAAAATGTATTTAAGATGAAAGCTCCCCTCTTAGAAGGAGAGATTACTTTAAATTAGCTTATGAGTCTGGAATTTTAATTACACTTCAAGTAATAGTAAAATTTTAGCAGATTCAGAAAACTGGAGATATATTTGTGGGGCAGTAAACTCAATAGTCTGTCACATATATAATTCCTGTAAGGAGTATGGAAACTATGGCTATAAAGGAAATTTTATATCAGCCGTTATAGGGTCATACAATTTACTCTAAAAATATTGAAAATATTAATTCTTTAGATGTTGGGAAAAATTGAAAGTTTGTGTAAGGAAGTGGTCAGAGCAGAATTTCAGGAAAATCCTCTGGTGCCAGTGATTTTTCTTGGTAATGTTGGGGAAAGAGACTGAGAAGGAAAGGAGCAGAGTTGGGGACAGGAAGAGTGGGAGAACTGCTAGGAGGTTCTGTCACTCAAGCTAAGAAGTTAGAAGGCCTACATAGGAAGAATGATAACGTTAGTAATATATGTTGAAGTTTTTAAAATAATTCTGTTAATGTAATCCTATAATAATGGGTATTAAGCACACATTTGGTGAAATAACATAAACTTTAGAATATTCTAAAAAATTTGTATTAGTATTCTCATAAGGTGTTGCTTGGCTACTGCCATTTAAAACCTTATTTTAAAGTAATTTTTAAATGTAAAATTTAACTGACTTTATATGATTTATTACTTATAGGTTGAAAAATATTGAAAAAGAAATTGAAAAGAAAAGAATGAATGTCTTTAATATTCGGTCTGTAGATGATTCCCTGAGACTTGGTCAGCTCAAAGGAAATCACTTTGATATTGTGATTAGAAATTTAAAAAAACAAATAAATGATTCTGCAAACCTGAGAGAGAGAATTATGGAAGCAATAGAAAATGTTAAGGTAAGAAAACTTAATTTTAAAAGAGTATCCAGGGAAATCTTCATAGTCTCTTTCTCTACATTGAGGCAAGAGGGGAATCTTCTTTTTCTTTTGTACCTTTTTATGGGATTTTTAAACACGATAATTATTTTTTAAAGTGATAAATAAGGCCATTTGGCTTATATTTTACTTTCAGCTTGATACATTTTTGTATTTAAACAAAACAAAATATGTAAACATGATTTTAAAAATGCAGGATATGGCATCCTTCAGAGAAGAGGGGACAATCTACATTCATAAGAGATTTTTTAAAGCATCTGCTATATAGAGCAGTATTTAGTCAGGGGAATTTATTTTTTGGAAATTTTGATGTATACACATTATAAATCATACACACTGTATTAGTCCATTCTCACATTGCTAAGTAAGGGCATACCTGAGACTGATTAATTTATGAAGGAGAGAGGTTTAGTTGACTCACAGTTCAGCATGGCTGGGGAGGCCTCAGGAAACTTATAATCATGGTGGAAAGGGAAGCAAACACATCCTTCTTCCTATGGTGGCAGGAAGGAGAAGTGCCAAGTAAAAGAGGAAAAGCCCCTTATAAAACCATCAAATATTGTGAGAACTCACTCACTATCATGAGAATAGCCTGGGAGTAACAATCTCTATGATTCAGTCCCACTGGGTCTCTCCCATGCCACGTGGGGATTATGGAAACTAAAATTCAAGATGAGATTTGGGTGGGAACACAGCCAAACCATATCATAAACTTTATGTTTTATGGTAAAAAATTACTTAGCATAAGTTTCTAAATGACATTTTCCAGACATTTAAATATGCATATACAACGATAGCCTTCAAGACCAAATCATCTTAGATCATCTAGACATCAGCAAAGTTTATACTCTAATGGGCCAGATAATAAATATTTTTGACCTTTTAGACATATGGTTCCTCTTGCAACTAATCTACTGCCATTGTATGGAAGCAGCCACAGACAATATATAAGTGAACGAACATGGCTGTGTTCCAATAAAACTTTGTTTACAAAAACAGGTGTTGGACTAGGTTTCATTTGTGGGCTGTAGTAGTTTGCTAACTCCTGATGTAGATGAGTAGTTCTCAACCTGAGGAGCTTTCAAAAAATTTCACCCACTGATCTCTACTCCTGAACCAATTAAAAAAGAACATTTGGGGATGCAGGTTAGGCATTAATACTTATTTTTAAAAAACTTCTTAGGTGACTCTACTTTAGAGCCAATACCGAGAAACACTGATTCAAGTTTCTGACCACAAAGACCTTTGTACACAATTTTATACCTCTCCAACAGGAAAACAAGCAAACAAAAGCTGGTTATTTATCTGCCTTGTAGTTAGGAAAATATCTTCCAACTAAAGATCTTTTAAATCCAGCACTTTCATCTGTATATGGAAGTTATCTGATTGTATACTCATTATATGTTGTGTTAGTTCGTTCTCATGCTGCTATGAAGAAATACCCGAGACTGGGCAATTTATAAAGAAAAGTGGTTTAATTGACTCACAGTTCCATATAGGTGGGGAGGCCTCAGGAAACTTACAATCATGGCGGAAGGCACCTCTTCACAGGGTGACAGGAGAGAGAATGAATGCCAGCAGGGGAAATGCCAGATACTTATAAAATGATCAGATCTCGTGAGAACTCACTATCATGAGAACAGCATGGGGAAAACCGACCCCATATTCAATTACTTCCCACCGGGTCCTTCCCATGACATGTGGGGATTGTGGAGATTCCAATTCAAGATGAAATTTGGTGAGGACACAGCCAAACCATATCATATATTATTTTACCTTTGTTTTCCTTGACCTACCTAAAATTCTACTTTTTTTTCTTCAAAAACTCTTACTAAAATGATATATTTTTAAAAAGATAGAAGTTTCTTTGAACTCTGATAGCATTTATTACCTGTCTTTCATTTGTTATATATGAATATACAGCTGCCTATTACAAAATTCCCATTAGAAATAATCTTAGTTTTAGCCAACTTCCATTGGTTCTCATGATGTGAGAAAGGAATTGAGAAACCCTGAAAATAAGTCTTTGAAGTTTTGTTTCAAGGGGTTATGTCTCTGTTATAAACCTTTTGTTATATCTAATTACTTTGAAGGGTTACTTTAAAACTCTTCTGGTTATTCTAGGACATTATCTGATGTTATTTTTTCAAATTTGAAATAATTAAAAATATTTATGAGATTTAATTAAGGGAGTACTTATTCTATCTGCAGTTAATTTTTTTTTTTTTTTTTGAGACAGAGTCTCACTCTGTTGCCCAGGCTAGAGTGCAGTGGCGCGATCTTGGCTTACTGCAAGCGCCACCTCCTGGGTTCAAGCCATTCTCCTGCCTCAGCCTCCCGAGTAGCTGGGACTGCAGGCGCCCGCCACCATGCCTGGCTAATTTTTTGTATTTTTTTTAGTAGAGACGGGGTTTCACCATGTTAGCCAGGATGGTCTCCATCACCTGACCTCGTGATCCGTCCGCCTTGGCCTCCCAAAGTGCTGGGATTACAGGAGTGAGCCACTGTGCCCGACCTGCAATTAATTTTTTAAATGACATGAGATAATGACATGCTTTTGTACCATGCTGACAACAAATTGGCTCAGCATCTTTTACTAAAAAATTCTTGAGTTGGTATTCAATAATAATTGTTGACTGAATAAATGCATACTCTCCTCATGAAGTAAGTGGAGAGGACTCTTTTGTCTTTCGAGAAATTGTCTGGGCCTGGTATTTTCTTTCTGAGCACATGTTTAATGACTGACCAATTTCTTTAATGGTTGCAGTAGTATATTACAGTTTTCTATTTCTTCTGAGTAATGTGACAGCTTTAAAACATGGCCTGAAGGGTTCACCTCCATCAAGAAGTGAAGTTTGTATTCGTCCCCTGGAATACAGGGAGGAATACCTGTTCCAGGTGCTGGAACAGCTGGACCGGTAGAGTACTGCTGAAGTGGCTCCATTGTTTCAGGTCAGCCTTTAAGAAACTGAGATGAACTAAAGAACAAACAGTTATGTAGAAAAGTGCCAGGATGTATGGGGTTTGAAAGTAAGCCTGTTCTTGACTCCCTACATCTCCAGACAGCTGAAGAGTCTCAAAATAAGAAAGAGAGCGTCAGGATAGGGATCAGATCTGGGTACTAGGTGACCAACTCATTTTGGATGCCCAGAACTTTTCTGGCTCTAGCACTGAAAATCTCACATCCCAGGAAACCCCTCAGTAACATGAATGGAAAGTTGACATATTTTTGAAGTTTTCTTCACTGGTTTTATGTTCTAACTTCTAATTCTGTGTTTTCTTTCCTATTCTTTAATTGCGCAGCATTTCTCAGACTATTTGGTCCCTATGTGCATAATGCTGATTACAGAGTTCTTCTATTAAAATAGTTACGAAGAGAAAAATTCAATTGTATATTTTGACATGTAATTGTACTTATATACTCTTAATTTGTTGATTATTTTGTATACATAGAAAAAAGGCTTTGTGAATTACTATGGACCACAGAGATTTGGGAAGGGAAGGAAAGTTCACACAGACCAAATTGGACTAGCTTTGCTGAAGAATGAAATGGTATGGATTTTGGAAAATGTAATCTTATCTGTTTCTGTCAATTATACTTACTACATAATCCAGCTCCTTGCTTTCTTAACTCTAGCTTATAAATGCATGTAAACACACACATACCAAATATATTACATCACTGAACATTTAGTGAGCTGGTGCTATGTCCTTGGTATCACATTACAAGAAAGCCAACTGTGTGAGTGTCCTTGTGGTTAGTACATATTTGAGATTTGACACAGAAATGACTATCACTTTCCAATTTTAGTGAACTGAATAGAAGATATAGAGGAAATTTTGACCCTACAATCCCAGAAATCAGATATCAGATCATATAAAAGATAGGAATCCACATAAGTCCCGAGACTAAAAGGGGAGCAGCAAATTTGAAAACAAAATCTGACTAGTTCAAAATGAAACTAAAAATGCATGTTACAACTAAGAAGCTGCATTTGCTGAAATATTAAAAGCATATGTGTGTATATCTACTTTTAATTTATATTTTTTATATATAATTGCATATTTTTACACTAAAATGGAATGCACATAATGGAGGAAAGCTACAAAACTATAAAAATTATATATTTGAACAAGTGCAAGATTATTCTTATGATAGTATCTTGTTCACTCACCTGTGTTCTAATATGGTTTCTTGAGTGGAAGAGAAGGAAACAGTAAAAGATTTTGTGAGAAACATGATGCATAGAACATCATCTTACATATCAAATAATGTTCAGAGCTGATGATTTAGACCACATCTGCAAATCTATTGGTAGTTCTGGGTTTCACATTTCTAAGGAGATTTTAGCAACTGGAATATAACTGATATGATAAAGAGTCTAGAAATGTTTACCTCAGCAGTGGTTCTTTAGTCTAGAAAACTCTGAAAATTAACTTGTAAAATGTTTAAAATTTTGTCATACAGAAGAAGAACTTAATAGTTTGGGGCCTATTGGATGCAGCATATGTTCTACTTGAGTTCTGCCATTTGTCACCTGTGTTACTATAGGTACTTAACTTTTCCAAGTTGCTTAACTTTTCCAAGCCTCAGTTTCCTTACCTGTAAAATGGAGATAGCATGTATGTCACAAGATTTTTCTGAGAATCAAATGAAAGAACTTTTGTTAAGGCAGCTAGTACAGTGCCAGACAAGTGTCCATACATGGGATGGGCTAGATATTTAAGGGACTTGTAGTCCAGCATAAAAGACTTTTTCTTAACAATTGTTCAAATAACTGGAATGTCCTGTTTCTCATGACATTTAAGCAAAAGCTGGACGGCTACCCCTCTACCTCTTTCAAACCTCATATTGCATGCTCTTGAATTTTTAAAAACTTTTGCTTTGGCAGTAATAGTCAATTATTGCCATGTAACAAATTACCCCAACATATAGCGGTTGAAGACAACAAGCATTTATTATCTCAATTTCTGAGAGTCAGGAATTTGGGAGCAGCTTAGCTGAGTGGCTCTGGTTCAGGGTCTCTTGTGAGGCTGCAGTCACACAATCGGCCCCGGTGTGTAGTCTCTGAAGACTTGACCAAGATGGAGGATCTGCTCCTAAGCTCATGCTTGTGGTTGTTGGCAGGAGACTTTATTTTCTTGCTTTAAGACTATTTGTGGCATGGCTTCTCCTAGAGAGATAAGTCCAAGAATGCAAAGGAGAGAGAGAGAGACACAACAGATACCGCAGTGTCTTTTATAACCTAGTCTCAGAAGTGGCATACTTTCACTTCTTCTGGCCACACAGATCAACCCTGATAAGTGTTTGAGAGGACTACATCACGTGTGAAGATCAAGTGATGGAGAGCATTGAGGGCCATCTTAGAGGCTGATTCTTGCAGCTAAAAAGCTGTATCTTCTTTCCTTTGCCTGAAGCACTCCCTCCCCAACGTGTATATTCTTTAGGTCTCAGTTTAAATATTCTCATTCTACTCCCCAAGAAAAAGTGAATTCCTCTTATTTTGTGATCCTGTATCATCTTGGGCTTCCCATCTTAAATTTTATTATATTTTATTATTATTGCTTATTTAATTTTGTCAGTAGGCAGAAAGTTTTAGTTGGACAGAGACCATGACTTTTACTCAATGCTCTGTCCCTAATACCGTATGCAGTATCTAGCACGTGGCAGATACCTAATAATATTTGTTTGAATAAGTGAATACTGTAAAGGAAAATTGAGTGGGAAATTGGGTCAAATGACCTATTTAAAATTCTTTCCTACTCTAAGACACGTGCTTTAGAAATAAATCCCAGGGCTAAAGACAGTGACAAAATAAGTGAACTAGTAGATACTATTTAAAAAGAAAGGAACATCTTTTAATCTATTTAGGATTTAAAATAAAATATTAAATTTGGCAACTTTTTCATTAAGATTTTGGCAATTATTTTTAAGTGCAAAGAATTCAGGAAATTGAGAGCATAAATGAAATTAAGGGCTTGCCTTTCCCCTCTGCTTGCTACTTTCCTATTTTTGTCATGTGTGTTGGTCAGGTCTGAAATTTATGTCATTATTTTACCCTTGTGTTCTTAGCTCAATAATAGAGATACAGCATGACAGAAGTCTAGGTTATCTGTCAATTGCCAATGACAATAGAATTTATACTGTGTACTTACTTTGATAGTACTCTCGATATAACCTCTTCTCCAATTTTATGTCTCTCTTTATCTTTTGTCTTATGAATCCTTTTTGGTTTTAAGAGAGAACTATCTTTTATATTTCCAATATCCTTTTCTTCTTCAAGGACTTCTAAGTCTTGAGAAATAAAAAAGCCAGTTAAGATATTTGTGCTGAGGTGGGCAGTTCCCAAGATCAGGAGTTCAAGACCAGCCTGGCCAATATGGTAAAACCCATCTCTACTAAAAATATAAAAATTAGCCGGGTGTGGTGGTGGGTGCCTGTAGTCCCAGCTACTCGGAAGGCTGAGGCAGGAGAATAGCTTGAACCCAGGAGGCAGAGGTTGCAGTTAGGCAAGATCGCGCCACTGTACTCCAGCCTGGGCAACAGAGCAAGACTCCGTCTCAAAAAAACAAACAAAAAAAGGATATTTGTGGCTGTGAAATGGGTGAAACATAACTTTAATTCATTTGATCCTAACCTGAAAGTTATAGCTGTGTTGTCTTCGGAAACTTCTGAAGCTTCTTTTTTTAATGTTTTCTTTCTGAGCTATTTTCTTTACTTCTGCTCTGGGAGTGAGGCATTCTACATCTTCAGAGCTACTTCTTTTCCTCTTCCCTTTTCTGACTCAGGTAAGTTGGATACTTAAAATCTTTGTTGTTGTTGTTTTTTTCTTTGAGGGTTGCTTTTGGGGTTCACTAGTTTCTACTTCTGAGCCCTCAGAGTGGTTCTTGATCTTTTTACTTTACAGCTGCCTGCATTTCTTGTGTCCATGTTTAATTATTTGACCTGGACATTGTCTTACTTTTTCATTTGCCCTTTCTTTTATTTTGTTTATTTTTCTTTTTTCTTCTGTAACAATACATTGGTTTAATTTTACTTCTGCTCCAGCCATTTAAATATTAAATATTTTCAAATACATCTATTTAAATATTAAACAAATATTTAATATTTATTTTTGGGCCAGAAGGGGCTCAATTTTCACTGTCTTAGGAAATATGTTAGGTTTTCTTGGTGCTTCTTCAGGTGGGTTGTTAAGAACCTGAAATAAATTCAAAAAAGTTTTACTATTTATAATACTTTCTAATTTTTTTGCTTTTGGAAACAGTTTAAAAATAGGGGTTTAATACATTTAGCCTAAGCTTTTCAGAATTCTTACACCTTACTAAGAATGTCAATACATTTTAACCTTAATATTTAAAAAAAATGACAAAAGTGGAATTATGGAAGTGATAGGGAAATGCTTTTTTCAGTCCATAATATTTTAAACCTATATATAAAGTTATTTCATGCAGAAGGCTTATTTCTACATTTAACATTGACTGTTTAATTTTTGAAACCCTAAAGGGAAAATTGCAGCATCAAGTATAATTATTAAATGCCTATTCTTTTAGGATGCTAGAGAATTTGCATCTTTTTTTTAAGAAAGTAATTTGACGTTTTTATTAACACATGTTTACTTGCTTGATTTTTCAAGACGAAAGCCATAAAATTGTTTCTTACACCAGAAGACTTGGATGATCCTGTAAATAGAGCAAAGAAGTATTTTCTTCAAACTGGTATTTAAGTTTCTTTATCCTGTACATAGCCATGCAGATACAGATACACACTATAAATGTTTTATCAGCAGGAGAACATTTATTGTAACATAAATGTGATAGGAAATCGATTATAGTATATTACATACTGAATACTTCTATTCCGTGACTTAGGCACTCACTTCGTTTTTAGTCAGATTTGGAAGTTTTTTTGTCTATGCTATCTCTTGTCTAGGGGTAGGGGCAAGGGGAGAAATAGTTTCTTAGTTTTTCTTGGCTGAAATCCTCTGAAAAGAGAGGAGTTCCAAATTCTACTCTGGCACTGATGGCAATATAATTAATTGCAGCTGGGGGAGATACAAACATAAATAAATGAAAGTTCATTTATGATATTCCAAACTTTATGCATTATTTTCATTCTAGTTGCCAATTAGCCCTGTCAGTTTTTAAAACTTGAGGTCAATATGATGGAGTATATATAGAATGCTTGATGAAAACCAGTAAGGAAAAGTGGTTATGAATGTGGCTTGAGTCAGATTGCATGGGGTTAACTCAGCTTTAATACTTCCCAACTGTATGATCTTGTGCAAGTGATTTGACGTTATTGTGTTAGTTTCCTTATCTGTAAATTGAAGCAAATCACAGTACCTAAAAGAGTATTATGAGATTTAGATATGCCCTTGGAATAATGCCTCAGATGTGCTACATACAGATAAATATTACCTTTATTTAAATAATATTATTTATAATATTATAAATATTACCTTTATTTAAATAATAAAAACAGCAACCACACCATGTCAGATTCATTCAGATATCTGACCGACATACTGAATTTCACTTACATTGAAATAAAGGATGTCAGTTTTCAAATATTTATTATTTTTAATTATGTACATATTACATATGTGCAGCTATTCACAGGAAAGTAATATTTTTGTGCCACACCACAATGTGTAAACAGTGTGGGCACTTCTAACTCTTATGAGTAATTTAAGTAATACTAAGGAAAATTCAAAGTGACTTATTTGTGTCTGTTGTAGAGTCCCCGAGATGAAAATTTCCTTATGGTAATGATTCTTCAACATTCATATGCATAAGAAACACGTGGTACATTTATTTCAATGCCAATTCCAAGGCCATACCTGAATAAGCATCTTTTTGGTAGATTCCAGTCATCTGCATTTCAAAGTGCATCCTATTTTGTGAGGCATAATAGCGTGCCTGAAGGCTCCAGATCTCAACCCTTTCTTAGTAAAAAAAAATTCTGTGTTTATGTCCAGAATAGCTCTTTAAAAAACTCTAGTCTCTGCTAGCTCAGCAATAGCAATTAAATTATTTAATCCTTGAGGGTTTTTTGTTGTTGTTGTTGTTGGTTTGATTTTGTTTCAACAGTCCTGTGAATAACTTCATTAGTTTATCTCTATTCTGAAGTAAGGGACTTTAGTAAGCTGTTATGAATGTTGGATTCTTGCGTTTTTTGTTTTTTTGTTTTTTTATAACAGGAAAAGTGAAAGTAGGGCCATATTATGCTTATTATTTTTTTAAGCTCTTCAAGTGTAGCTAGGTTTAACCAAAAGCGTTAAATATCATCTTAATACCCATGTTCATTGCTTCAGTTTGAGATTAGAACAAAAGCCTTTGTAAATTGGTCTTTAAATAAAAGTGGCTAACTACCTGATTTACCCTTTATTTCAGAGGATGCTAAAGGCACGCTTTCCTTAATGCCTGAATTCAAAGCGCGGGAGAGAGCATTGTTGGAGGCATTGCATCGCTTTGGCATGACCGAGGAAGGTTGTATCCAGGCATGGTTCTCTTTACCCCATTCCATGCGCATATTCTATGTTCACGCATATACCAGCAAAATTTGGAATGAGGCAGTATCTTACAGACTTGCAACCTATGGAGCAAGAGTAGTGGAGGGTGATTTGGTCTGTTTGGATGAAGATATTGATGACGAGAATTTCCCAAATAGTAAAGTAAGTATCATTCCATCAGAGTTTTCCAAGAGTAGTTACTATACCAGAACATGAATTTTCAAAAGCCCTGATTATAGAAACACGTTAAACATACATGTAGTTTATTTATCTGTTTGTACTTAAATTTACTCATCTCCTGCTTCAAGTCTGCTGTCAGTTTAGGCTTAGCACATGTTGGTAAATGGAAAGATAAAAATAGTGGTATGGAGTGAAAGATATAGGTAGTAAAGCTTGCTTTAAAAAACCCATTTTAAAAAGGATTATGCAAATAATGCACAAAACAGCCCATCAAAATAAAAATCAAGGCCAGGTGTGGTGGCTCATGCCTGTAATCCCATCACTTTGGGAGGCCGAGGTGGGCGGATCACGAGGTCAGGAGTTTGAGACCAGCCTGACCAACATGGTAAAGCCCTGTCTTTGCTAAAAATACAAAAATTAGCGAGGCATGGTAGCACACGCCTGTAATCCCAGCTACTCAGGAGGCTGGGGCAGGAGAAACTCTTGAACCCCGGAGGTGGAGGTTGCAGTGAGCTGAGATCGTGCCACTGCACTCTAGCCTGGGTGACAGAACGAGACTCTGCCTAAAAATAAAAATAAAAACATTGCAGATGACTCTGCAATCCCTGCTAGCATCCTAATGTGATTCCCTCTGCTTCCTCCAGAGACTCAACCTCCGTTGTTATATGTCTTTCTAGACCTTTCTCTATGCTTTCACATAAATATCCATTGAAAATCTATTTTTATTATATTAGTTAACACTGAGAAAATAAAAGGTAGGATTTAGAGACTCAAAACTTAAAATATGGAGAGGAGAAGGAATATGATTTTTATAATGGTATAGGGAACATGTAATGTGTATTTCTTTTATGGAAATGTGAATTTATTTCAAATGTGATTCATAATTTCCTCTTAACAGTGTCTTAGAGACATTTATATTAGTGAAGTTATAATATAGTTTATATTTTAAAGCTTGGTTCTTCCATTTCCTCCTTGTCAAGTTTTTTTTTTTTTTTTTTTGAGACGAAGTCTTGCTCTGTCACCTAGGCTGGAGTGCAGTGGCGAGATCTCGGTTCACTGCAAGCTCTGTCTCCCGGGTTCACGCCATCCTCCTGCCTCAGTCTCCCAAGTAGCTGGGACTTCAGGTGCCTGCTACCACGCCTGGCTAATTTTTTTGTATTTTTAGTAGAGACGGGGTTTCAACGTGTTAGCCAGGATGGTCTTGATCTCCGAACCTTGTGATCCCTCCACCTCGGACTCCCAAAGTGCTGCGATTACAGGCATTAGCCACTGTGCCTGGCCGTCCAGTTGTTTTTTATCTCTGTGGGTTTGAACTAATGAAACTGGGTTCCATAAATCATGCAAGGAAGTTCATTTAATATAGTACTGTAATACAAAAAGAACAAATTATTTTCTAACATTATCATGTCAGTCTCATAAATTTTAAAAATTAGTGAAAATTTGAATAACACTTTCATATGTAACCTAATAAAATCATTGGATTTTAGAGAAGAAAAGGATTTTTAGAGACACTCTTTTTTAATTCCCATTTGAAGGGGTGGCCTGCCCCTCCACACCTGTGGGCATTTCTCGTTAGGTGGAAGGAGAGACTTGAGAAAAGAAACGAGACACAGAGACAAAGTATAGAGAAAGAAAAAGTGGGCCCAGGGGACCGCTGGTCAGCATACAGAGGACCCGCGTGGCACCAGTCTCTGAGTTCCCTTAGTATTTATTGATCATTATCTTTACCATCTTAGAAAAGGGAAGTGGCAGGATAATAGGATTATAGTAGGGAGAAGGTCAGCAGTAAGACATATGAATAAAGATCTCTGTGACATGAATAAGTTTAAGGAAAAGTGCTGTGCCTTGATATACATATGCAAACATCTCCATAAACCTGTTTAGTGCATAAAGGGCAGCATTGCCGCTAGCACGTCCCACCTTCAGCCCTAAGGCGGTTTTCTCCTTTCTCAGTAAATAGAACATACAATGGGGTTTTACACCAAGATGTTCCCTTGCCCAGGGATGGGCAGGAGACAGATGCTTTTCTCTATCTCAACTGCCAAGAGGCCTTCTTTCCTCTATTACTAATCGTCCTCAGCACAGACCCTTCATGGGTGTCAGGCTGGGGAATGATAAGGTCTTTCCCTTCCCACGAGGCAGTATTTCAGACTATCACATGGGGAGAAACCTTGGACAATACCTAGCTTTCCTAGGCAGAGGTCCCTGTGACCTTCTGCAGTGTATGTGTCCCTGGGTACTTGAGGTTAAGAGAATGGTGATGACTTTTCACAAGCATACTGCCTTCAGGCACTTGTTTAACAAAGCACACCCTGCACAGCCCAAAATCCCTTAAACTTTGAGTCACCTCAGCACGTCTCTTGCAAGGACAAGGTTGGGGGTAGGGTTACAGATTAACAGCATCTCAAATACAGAACAAAATGGAGTCTCTTATGTCTACTTCTTTCTATATAGACACAGTAACAGTCTGATCTCTCTTTCTTTTCCCCACACCATTTTATAGAATGAAAATTGGGTCCCAGATTGGAGAGGAGACAGATTCAGAGTCACACAGGTAGTGGAATTAAAAAGACCCAGCTGCCTAACTCCTAGCCCAGTTTGGTCTCTACTAGAAAAATCATGGAGTATAGAGAAGTAGTCTGTAGTGAGAACTAGAACATGGTCCAGTTTTTCAAACATAGAGGTAAAACAGACTCTGAACTCTACATAAAGGAAACATTATCTAAATTAATGTCAGAATTTTTGACGTATTAATTGAGGTTTTTTGGTTTTAAGTAATAGAAAGCCTCCTCAAACCTACAGTAATTTAAAGAAACACGAGAATTTATTGGCCCTTGTAACTGAAAGCCCATGATTGATTCAGGCACAGCTGTATTTGGGACTTAAGTGTCCTAAACGATTGCCTTTTTTTTGATCATTCAGCTCTGCTTTTCTCTGTGTTAGATCCATTCCCAGTCTAGCTTACACCTTTGGTGGCAAGATGGTTATTAACCACTCTAGACTCATTTGTCACCACTCTAGACTTGCTTCTCTGCAGAAGAATGATTTTTCTTTCCCAACAGTGCCAACAAAAGCTGTGTAATTGAGTCTCAGTGGCTAGGAATGGCCTGGCCTGGATCATATGTACAGAACCAAACCAGAAAGTGTGAACTGCAGTATGTGATTGACTAAACCTGCATTCCTGGGACTCCTTCCTGGGACCCTAACCCACATCTGACACCTGGGAGAGGTCCCTTGGAAAACGAGAGTGCTACTACTTGAAAAGAGGAAGTAAAGATTGCATAAGCCAGAACATCAGCTGTCTGCTTCACTGTTTCATTAAATGGATGAATAGGCAAAAACTGCAATTACTTTTGCTCCCACCTAATAGGAAAGAAATAAGAAAATGGTCACTAGGAGGCAGCATATGTTGCTAAGAATGGTAATTTAGTTGAGATACAGACTCAAACTCTGTGTGAAAAGAAACCTAGCAGCATTATAAGTTTTATTTTACCTCATGTGGGGGAGAAGAGATGTGCCAACGATCCCCTTTTGATAAATAACAAAAAATCGTTATCATTTCTTAACACCTCCCAGATAACGTATCCATTTAAATATTGGAAAGCACACTAATTAGTAAGTCATCCATTTCTAAATCAGATTTTTGGAAGTTAAAGATTACTTTCACAAGATATAGCAACAATTTTTGAAATGCATGAGTTTTATAAGACTTCTTTATTCAGAATAACATTTACAAGGATAGTTTTGTGACTGGCATTTTAGCTGCTTTCTTGTTGGAGCTGTAGGAGAAGAGAAAACATTTTCTCATACATATTTTGCAGAATTTCCTTTTATGAACAGCAAAAACAATGTTTCTATATATTTTAAAATCGATCACTTATTTTATTAGCACTGAGGAAAGAAAAGGCAGGACTTAGAGTCCCAAAATATAAAATATGAAAAGGAAAAAGAATACAATTCTTAATAAATGGTATATGGGGCATGTAATGTGCATCTACAATGAAAAATTATAGAAAACTAATCTGATTCCTTCTTTTGATAGGATTACTAGACTAACAGGTGTAGCTACATTTCAAATCACTTGGTAACTTCTTTTTGTGTGTGTGTATGGGCAAGATGGAGAAATGTGAGTTAGACAATTTGTGAGTTAGGTGAATTTGTAGTTGGGGAGCAGCCATACAAGGAAAACACGTTTGCTCATGAATTGTTGGATATCAGCCTGGAGGGAATTCTCTAAAGACAAAGCATGGTGTTTTATACCTTGACCATGTTTATTCAATGTTTTCATAAATTACTTAAATCACAGTATGTAGGTACACTTATGACTCTGTGAAAGAGAAAAGGCTAGAAATGATAATGCAAGAGAGATCATAATTCCATGTAGTATGTCTCTTGTAGTTTGATCAGATCACATCTGGAGCTTTCTGTTTCTGAGTGCAGTAATTGAAAGAGGTTAGTTACCAATAAACAAAAAAAAACCCCAAATTATAAACAAAAAAGGTGTGACATTATTGATAAGATGAGGGAGAGTTGAGGGGAAAGCAGGTAGATTTAGAGGGGCTCTAGACACTGTACCGTGTGATGAATACATATGAGAATGCTGTGAAACCTTGTGGAGGGAGGATAGATGCCTTTCTGTTTGAGCTTTCATATATAAGAGAAAGCAAACTACTTATTCTGTGATATCCTAGAGCAACATTTCATAGAGTTAATCTATCATGCACCTTTTTTTCCTCTTGTATGTGGCAATTGTTACCATTCTATGAAACAAATGCTGAGAAATACCACTTCTTTAAATTTTTTTTTTTTTCAATTTTATTTTAAAGACAGAGTCTTGCTCTGTCACCCAGACTGGAGTGCAGTGGCACCATCGTGTTTCACTGCAGTCTTGAACTCCTGGGCTCAAGCGATCCTCCTGCCTGAGTCTCCTATGTAGCTGGCACTACAGGCATGTGCCACCACACCTGGCTAATTAAAAAAAAATTTTTTTTAAATAGAGACAGGCTCTCCCTATGTTTTCCATGCTGGTCTCAAACTCTTGGCCTCAAGCAGTCCTCCCAAAGCACTGAATTGCAGATGTGAGCTACCACATCCAGCCAGAGAAACATCAGTTCTGTAGAGAGTATTATATTTTCGGGGGACAGAGATAAGTGGGGGTGGGCAGTGGGTTGATATTATAGAAGCGGATTTTTGATTCAGCCTAACAAAGAAAAACTTTGTGATTTAGAAAAAGATTGCTGGTGATTGAGGTGAAAGTATTGCCTCAAAGTTTTCAGCAGTCCACCTTTCTCCATGTTATCCAACGTCAGTGATTAGTGGTTAAAGCAGGAAGAATCATTCTAATTTTTATGTGTTCTACACCTCCAGAAACAAATTATGATAAGATCTTGTTTGGGTCTATGTATATTCAGTGTAGGAACTGATTTATATGTAATAGAGTTAGGGAAAATTGAAAGTGGAGGAAATTTGGAACATGTGGAAATCGTTCATATTTTCATGCTTTTTAAAACTAGGTTCACCTGGTAACTGAAGAGGAGGGATCAGCTAATATGTATGCAATACATCAGGTAAATTTGCTTAAAAATTAGTATTACTTAGACCTAAGTGTAGATGTTGTCCCCAAAAAGCAAAATGTTGACTAGTTCCCCTCCTCTTTTTTTTTTTTAACAACTTTTAAATTAAGGTATAATTTATATACAATTAAATTCACATAGTTTATAATTGTATAGGCTTTGATCAACATATTTTTGATAAATGTAGGACTGTGTGGCCGCCACAAACATCAATCATAAAGAACAGTTTCCTCCCCTTTCCAAATTTTCCTGTGCCCATTCCCATCCTTCACCCTGGGCAACCCCTGGTCGGTTTTCTGTCACTATGGTTTTGCCTTTGAAATAATGTCATATAAATGGAATACTACAGTATATGACCTTTTGTGTCTGGCATCTTTCACTTAGCATAGTGAATTTCAGATTCATTCATATTGTGTATATTTGAATTTTTTACCTTCTTCCTTTTCTTGACTACCTTTTGGTATTATTCAAGAAAACTGTCTAGAAGACACCAGCAAAGGAAGAATACCCCACAAAATGCAATGTTTACTCACAAGCAGCTAAGAAAATAAACATTGAATGCGTTGCTATGTGTTTGCTTTCTTGTTTTGGAAGAAATAAGAAAATTTAAGATTGCCCACCAAAATACTGGTAATGTGATTGAGCAGTAGAGGTTACTCTTCATGTTACAGACAGTACATGCTTTATTCTATAGAGATTAAGTCGATATCAGCTAATTAAGTGTACCTAAACTTCTTGAATAGTGAATTGTCTAATAATACCTGATTTGAGTTGGTTACCTTAGTTATTGTGAGTCCTTGATTTTAGTTAGCTATTTTCTTTGGCAGCATAAAAATATCATAGCATATTATTTAAAGTATGTTTTAGGCTGATTGTGATGTTTATATTCTGAGACTGTTTTTACAAATCCGGGTCCCAGTCATAAAAGTACATTAAAAATATGATCATGTATCTTTTTGAAGGCTATTTTCATATTTTTTCCGTCTTTTGTTTCACAGGTGGTTCTTCCAATACTTGGATACAATATTCAGTATCCAAAGAACAAGGTAGGGCAGTGGTACCATGACATACTTAGCAGAGATGGACTACAGACATGTAGGTTTAAAGTACCTACTCTGAAACTGAATGTACCAGGATGCTATAGACAGATTTTGAAACATCCCCGTAATCTCTCATACCAACTAATGGAAGATCATGACATTGATGTCAAAATGAAAGGTTCCCACATTGATGAAACAGCTTTGTCTCTTTTGATCTCTTTTGATCTTGATGCTTCATGCTATGCTACCGTTTGTCTGAAGGAAATAATGAAGCATGACGTTTTAAACTGATACGCTTGGTATAACCGTATATGTGTCACTCTTTGAAGGAAAGGGAACTAAAATGTCTTAAGCACCTCCCATGTGTTAGGAGCTTCATAATTGTTATCTCTTTTAATTTTCACAGCATCCTGAGAAGTTAGGATTTGATACTATAATTTTATAGAGGACATGTAAGTGTCAGGGTCTAAATTTAAGGTACATGTGACCCCAAAGCCGGGGTTTTTTTTTCTATTATATGTTTCAGTGACCTTTATTCTGTGTCATAAAGTTACAATCTTTTGAAACCATTAGGAATATATATAATACTGCAAGAAAACATTTAAGAAAAAAAGTTGTGAATGTTCATATCCTCCAGCTCCTTGCTTAGAACCTTGGTGAAATTAGGTTGCAGTGAAGCAAATGTTGGACAGAAACATAGATGAAGCATTTTGCTAATTATTATTGTCCTCCTTTCCTATTTTTGAAATTATTGATCAGAACAATATACAAGGGAACTATCATCCCTCTGTATGTGATAGGTACCCCAGAGTAGTTATTACCTCTTTGTGAGACATAATCTTTGATGAAGACTGAAATAAAATTTCTCATCCAATTTTTATATCTTGGCATATGCTGATCCTCTTGACCATTTGTAATTTTTTTTCATATTATCTAAAACAGGTGTTAGAGTCAGGCAGATTTATGCTTAGATTCTGGCTCTGACACTTACCGGTGACTTTGAGTATGTTGTTGATTTTTTTGTGTGTGGGTTACTGATAGAATCAAGACAATGCCAGCTTCATAAGTGACAAATAATAGGATTATCTCCACATTTTCTGTTGCTGGAGGAATAAAACATTGTGCCCATTTGAAAATTTTAATTTTTGTTGATTTAGCTATCCCACATTATAAATCATCCTTAACCATTTTATATCAGTTAAATACAGGGGTGGGGTGGGGGAGGAATGACTGGCATGTAGACATGTATTGATTTGGGAATATCTGAGCATTTCTTTCATTGTTGGTAAGATATCATGATGAAATTAAAACAGCAGTATGGAGCATTATATATCAGTAATGTGATACTTTATATACTTAAGCCAGTTTAACCATTTTGGGAAATGTTAGCATAAGGAAATAAAATCCAAAAGAAGGAAGAGAAGCTATATGCAATGCAAAATTTGCTTATTGCAATATTTTTATATACAAATAAAGACACTAAAAACAGTTTTCACAGTCCATCATTACATAACTAAAGTAAGTAAAATGATATGTATCAACTTGATGGTAAAATATGTAGTTATTTAAAAAAGCAATGAACAATTTAGTTTCATGAGAAAATGTTGTCCCCAAAAGTAGAACACATATATTGCAACTGCAATAATACTCTGAATTCATCTTTCACAAATAAGAGACATGTTAGCATAGTGATGAAAAGCACAGATATTGGAGGCAAACTTACCCAGTTTGAACCCTGGCACTGCCACGTATAGCACTGCAGCCTTGGGAAAGTTATTTAAACTCATGTGCTTCAGTTTCAACATCTGTAAAATGGGCATGTTAACATTGCCTACCTCATAGGCTTACTGTGAGAATTTTCTAAGTTAATATAAGTAAAGCAGCTTTAAAAAGTGCCTGGCATTTAGTTATTGTTAAATAAGTGTCTGCAGATGCAAGTTTGGAAGAGAAAAACAAATAAATAAAAATGCCTTCCTGTTAAGATGATGGGGTATTTGGATTTTTTTTAATACTAAAAAGTGTTTTTTTGTTATATTTTTTGGCAATAAATAATTCTCAACACACAAAAATTGGATATTGTAGTACCATTGATTTTCTTTGGATTACTGCCATCATTTTAATATTATATTGAGAATGAAGTGATGCTCTATTAAGTAGTAAAAAAATTTAGAAAAAATGTTTTATTTTATATGATAAATTATGTCCTATAAATGCAATCATAAAATGAGTTATATACATTATTAAATCCTAGTTTTTAAGTTTTGAACAGCAGTCAGAAAATGTGAAAGCATGAAAATGCATCATTGATTCTACTTTCTTTGCCTGCAGATGGCACTATAATTTTAGACTTATTTATTTATTTAGTAAATATTTCAGCTGTGTATAAAGGATCACTAAGTTTATTTCATCACCATAAAATGTATTGAGATATCATTCATGTGGAATATTATTTTATATGCCAATAAGACTTGCCATGTTAAATTTTTTTTTGTTTAAGGACTTTTATTATTAATAGTATGCTTTGGACCAGCTGATCACTAGTCACTTAGGTTTTTGCAGTTTTGCTGGGGCATTTCAGACCTTCATAGGCATGATCTTTGGATTAGGTTTTTTTTTTCTTCACATCATTATTAGGAGATAATTTATTTTTAAAGTGTCATGTTAAACTGCAAAGATGTCCATTAAGCATCACTATTAAACATGCCAAAGGAGAAGCCATATCTTCAAAATACCCACTTAACCTACCCAAACATCTCAAACCCACCTTTTGCTGACCTTCTATAACCCCATTTCCAAAGTTTTGCTTCATTTTTATTGTTTCTTCCAACTTTTATTTTAGGTTTGGGGGTACATATGCAGGTTTGTTACATGAGTAAATTGCATTTTGTGGGGGTTCAGCATACAAATTATTTCATCACCCAGATAATGAGCGTAATACCTGATACATTGTTTTTCTATCCTCATCTTTCTCCCACCCTCCACCCTCAAGTAGGCCCTGGTGCCTGTTGTTCCCTTCTTAGAGTCCACGTGTACTCAAAGTTCAGCTCCCACTTAGAAGTAAGAACATTTGGTATTTGGTTTTCTGTTCCTGCGTTAATTTGCTTAGAATAGTGGCCTCCAGCTACATCCATGTTGCTGTAAAGACATAATTTTGTTCTTTTGTATGACTGTGTAGTATTATCTGATATATATGTACTATATTTTCTTTATCTAGTCCACTGTTGATGGGCATCTAGGTTGGTTCCATGTCTTTGCTATTGTCAGTATTGCTGTAATGAACACATGTGTGCATGGACTTTATGGTAAAGCAATTCATATTCCTTTGGGTATATAACCAATAATGGAATTGCTGGGTCAAATGGTATTTCTGCTTTAAGTTCTTTGAGAAATCTTCTAACTGCTTTACACAGAGGCTGAACTAATTTATATGCCCACTAGCAGTGTATAGCGTTCCCTTTTCTCTGCAGCCTCCCCAACATCTGTTATTTTTTGACTTTTTAATAACAGCCATTCTGACTGGTGTGAGATGGTATCTCCTTGTGGTTTTGATTTGCATTCCCCTAATGATTAGTGATGTTCAGCATTTTTTCATATGCTTTTGGCCCATGGATATCTTCTTTTGAGAAGTATCTGTTCATATCCTTTCTTCTTTTTTTAATGGGCTATTTTTTGCTTGTTAAGTTCTTTATAGATTCTGGATATCAGACCTTTCTTCATGCATACTTTGAAAATATTCTCTCCCATTCTGTAGACTGTCAGTTTACTCTGTTGGTAGTTTCTTTGGCTGTGCAGAAGCTATTTAGTTTGATTAGGTCCCACTTGTCAATTTTTTTTTTTTTTTTTTAGATGGAGTTTCCTTCTGTCACCCAGGCTGGATTGCATTGCTCATTGCAACCTCTGCCTCCCAGGTTCAAGCCTTTCTCCTGCCCCAGCCTCTCGAGTAGCTGGGGTTACAGGTGGTCGCCACCATACCTGCTTAATTTTTGTATTTTTATTAGAGACGGGGTTTCACCGTGTTGACCAGGTTGGTCTCAAACTCTTGACCTCACGTGATCTACCCACCTCGGCCTCCCAAAGTGCTAGGATTACAGACTTGAGCCAGCATGTCACTTGTCAATTATTGGCTTTGTTCCAATTGCTTTTGGAGTCTTTGTAATGATATCTTTGTTAGGTCTTATGTCCAGAATGGTATTTCCTAGGTTTTCTTCTAGGGTTTTTATAGTTTTAGGTTTTACATTTGAGTTGTTAACCCATCTTGAGTTGATTTTTGTATATGGTAAAAGGAAGGGGTCCAGTTTCAATCCTCAGGATGTGGTTAACCAGTTGTCCCAGCACCATTTATTAAATAGGGAGTCCTTTCCCCATTGCTTGTTATTGTTGACTTTAACAAAAACCAGGTAGCTGTAGGTGTGTGGCTTTATTTCTGGGTTCTCTAACCTGATCCATTGGTCTATGTGTCTGTTTTTGTACCAGTACTATGCTATTTTGGTTACTATAGCCTTGTAGAATAGTTTGACATCAGGTAGTGTGATGCCTCCAGCTTTGTTATTTTTGAATTAGTTTTAATTGCCAAGGTTGTTTGAGCTAGCAGTAGTGCCTGGGAGTCGGTTAGGTGAAACAAATTGAGGTCTTTTTATTAATATTAAGATTAAAACACCTTGATTTTTTTGTGAGTTGTAAAAAACTGAAAGTCATGTAACTTTTGATTTAACTAACATTTTCTGAGTATCTATTATGTCAGTATCTCACATTTTAATCCATATTCCCACCCTGTGTGGAGGTATTATCTTCACTTATTTTGCAGATTGGAAACATACCTGAATAGTTTACTAACCTAATCAAGGTCAAACAAAATAGCATGTGGGGTGAGCGCGATTATACTTCCTAAATCAGTACTGTTTTCATCTACCTAACATTTGCCTTCTGAGAACAAGTTTTTGGATAATAACTTCCATTTAGGCTGGGCGTGGTGGCTCACGCCTGTAAGGCCAAGATGAGTGGATCACAAGGTCAGGAGTTCAAGACCATCCTGGCCAAGATGCTGAAACCCTGTCTCTACTAAAAATACAAAAATTAGCTGGGCTACTTGGGAGGCTGAGGCTGGAGAATCGCTTGAACCTGGGAGGCGGAGGTTACAGTGAGCCGAGATTGCCCAGCCTGGGTGACAGAGCAAGACTCCATCTCATAAAAAAAACAAAAACTAAAAATTAAAATATAACTTCCATTTCTACCAACTTGATATTACTTGCCATTGATTTAATAGGCATATTGGGCCATGTCTTGGCAGAGACAAGATACCTTTTGAGATTCTGAGACCAAAATATAAAGTAAAAGGGATCCCTTCAGGAAATCCCCAAATCATTTTGGAGTTTTCCCAAAATATTTTGGGATTTGTATCATAATAATATGTAAAATCATTGTAGATCATAGGAGGTGTTTTAGATGGTACCTGGCACAAATATCATTGAAAAAGCATAGTGAGAAACTTGTTCTTTCGCAATTCATTTTCAGTCTTTGCATCAATCATTCTGTTTAAGGAAGGAGAAAGCTGCTTGATACTATTTACATATATCAACATTTGCTAATTTACCTTTCTAGCCAGCTATGCAGGCTTCAGGCTCAGAAACATCAGCAGGCAACAATATAATATGTAGCTAGAATTTAATAGGATTGCATTGTTTTATTGAATTTATTTTCCCTTTTATTTATGGCAATCAGTTCTGGCTTCCTGTTTATGTGATGGTATTATGTTTCCTTTAAAACTAAATTTAATTTTATTTATTTTTGTATTTATTTTATTTTATTTTATTTTTAGATGTGTGATTTCATTTCTTTTTTTATTATTATTATACTTTAAGTTCTAGGGTACATGTTCACAATGTGCAGGTTTGTTACATATGTATACATGTGCCATGTTGGTGTGCTGCACCCATTAACTCATCACTTACATTAGATATATCTCCTGATGCTATCCCTCCCCCCTCCCCAACCCCACGACAGGCCCCGGTGTGTGATGTTCTCCTTCCTGTGTCCAAGTGTTCTCATTGTTTAGTTCCTACCTATGAGTGAGAACATGCAGTGTTTGTTTTTTTGTCCTTGCGATAGTTTGCTGAGAATGATGGTTTCCAGCTTCATCCATGTCCCAATTTAATTTTAAAGAGGTAGAATCAATTTAAAGGTATTAAATAAATAATAGTATAGACACAGCAGTAATTATGATACCAATACCTGAATGATTAGAGTATGGGAAATATACCGGTACAGTTGAGAATCCCTGAAATCAGAGATGGGCTCTACAACTGTTTTAATATGTGACTTTAGTAACCCACTGACTCTGTTGTAGAATTCTTAGACTTGAAGTACTGTTAGTTATCATTTTTCAGTCCAGGATAGTGTTGCATCAAACAAAATTATGAAATATGTACACATTTAAGACATTATGAGCAGAGGCATTGATGATCACATGCTATATCTTAAGATTTTACTGATAGAGATTTGATTTTAGAAAATCTTACGAAACACTAGGAACAGTGTCTGGTGCCTAGCAAATTCTCAGTAAATTTCAGCTAGTATTATTATAGCTAGTATTACTTTACTATGCTCCCTGATAAAATTTTTATAATAAAATGGTTAGTGACTTTCCATTGAGGTCTGATCTGACTTAGTCTTAGCATAAAGTAATTACAATTCATATTTTTAGAGGTTTTTTTTGTAGTAGTAGAAACAACTATTTCTAAATCTGGGGATTCAGTAGTTCATTCAAATTGGGATCTTTAAGAGCTGTCTAGGTCAATGTTCCTTAACATTTTCTATCTGGGAGCAATCTTTAAGAGAACAGAAAGAAAATGAAACTCTATATAATTTAATGCAAAGTTTTTTTACATTAATGTAAGAGTAGGAAAAGAGGTTGGAGGAAGATATGGGGAGGTAGGAAAATAGGACTTTTTTCTTCCATTTACTTTTGATGTTTGAATTTCAAACAT